TGTGTGTGAAAAGGCTGCTAGTCTACCAGTATTTCTACACATCTCTGTTTTTAACAACTTTCTGATATGTAGTTTAGTGTTACATATTTTACTAAAGGTTAGTCTTGTTCTGAGATGCACTTTCTCTACTTCATGTCCTAGTTCATCATCCCACATTCCCATGGCATTTCTAACAACTTAGCCTTTTAGCATTAAGGTCTGATTTGACGTAAGCGTGCAGACAATTGGACCTGTCCCTGGTTATATATGAAAACCCTCTTTTAAAGTGACTCGGTAACATTGATGAAAAAACTGCGTAATTTTTGTATGAAATGTTACTTATTTTATTCCTTCTACTGTACCCCCTAACATGCAAAAAAATCTGAAAATTCTCTAACCACAAAGATATTTATTGTTTCCTTGGAAGGCCTCACTGTGCGACACATTCTATTTTTGAATTTTCCCAACCGTTTTCCATGAATGTAAGACATAAGACAGGCTTTTAAAAATGGGTACCGGTATATGAAGAAAAAATAATAATTTAACCCATAGCAGTAGTGTCTTCTTTTAGTTACATTTTTTTCTCATTTTCTTATAATCCAGAATGCTAGGAATTACACATTATACATGAGCAGAAAGAGCAAAAATCATAACTAATCATTAAAACCTCTAAATTGGCAACATGGTATAAAATGTAAAATTGCAATTCTTGAGTACAAACTACAAAGTGATAATTAGTTGGTTAAATTTTGCATTTTTTTTTGCATTGGTTACCTTACTAAACATTTTGTAAATTCCAAAAGAAGAAGGAGTGGAAAACAAAATCAATTGTTGCCAATTCGAAGAGGGAACACTGATTATTTTTAGAAAATAAGAAAACAATATGGGTTAAACACGATCCTGTCTTCAAGAGCAAACGTGATGAAGGGGAAATTAATTTGACCCCTGGCAGTTGATATTGTGTAAAGGAAATTAATCTGTATCCAGATAGACACTCTTGTGTATCATATAGGGAGGAGGAACCTTTGGAGAAAAAAAATAAAAATAGATGATTGCCTAAAACCTTTTATCAAAATTTTATTCTGGTTGTGGTAGGGTATTTTTATTCAGGATATCCTCTGCTCTGAGCTAATTTCGGCATGGATTACTGAAGGGAGGTAGAGAGGTATGAACAGCCACGGCACGGACCTTAAAACAGGGCGAATGCAAACAGTTGGGATGAACGTGAACAAAAAAGTGGAAAATTGACTTTGTCATGATTCTTTTTATCCAGAAATGTTGCAGACCATTTCATTTCTTTTTCCATCATGAATTTACAAGCTACAATATTCCTGGTGGGGAAAAAAAATCGTGTCAAAAACACTTTTCCTACTTTTGTTTCTGTTCTCATGATTGTTTGTATTCACTCTGTGCAACATAACAAGATATTGTTTGTATAGTTTCCATTTTCTAATAGAATCAATGCCTGAGTAGTGTAGATGTTGATTCAAGATATGTTGATAATGGACTTGGATAAGAGTGACATTAATTTGTTTACCTACATGATTGATTTATCTTGCTAAGTGCTAGAAAGTAATTTCTATCATTGTTACTCAATTTAATAACAACATCGGAAATTGGTGACCTTTCCATGTATGAAAACAAAATAGAAAGAAAGCAGTATATGAGAGTAAACAAGTAAAAGTAGGAGCTAAAGAAAGAAGAGTAGAATAATAATATTACAATAATACTACACAATCATTGAGGGACAGAAAATATCGAACAAAACAGGAAATAGGCGAATTTACGCTTACTCTTTGTAAATGACAACAAATAAGAGAGATTAACAGACAGACGTACAGACATGAACATATTAAACAAAATAGATAATGGATGATAATGATTAAATTGATGTAATGAACAAATTGGTCCCTATTTTCACGAAGTGACGGTAGTGAATAAAATAAAAATCGCATCCAATTTGCGTGTGGATTTTCCTCACTACCGTCACTTCGTTAAAAAAACAGGAACCAATTGAGTAATGATCTGGTAATGACCTAATCAAGCAGGTTTATTAACCCATGGAGTTGATAATTCAATAGAGGTCAATGACCTTATCTATGATTTATCATAAGTGACCAGTGTCTGGATTGGAAGTGCCAAATTTACTTCCAGTCTGGCCTCTGTAATGTAAAGCAATTTTAAATGGATATCCATACAAACCTTTGGTGTAAAGGTATCAACAATCCAAATTTTATAGTATATTGTAAAACTGGAAACTTATGCATACACACAATTTTGTAAATTACCCAAGTGGCCCAGATTCATTGACAAGTTTTTAAAAACTACCATTGCAATTAAATAATTAGGTTGAATCATGACATAGACTGTTGATACTGCATCTTGCAATTTTGCTGCAGAAATGAAATAACAGTACCTCATATTCAGAGAAGCATGATTATATGTACTTCCATCACATTGTAGTATTTATGTCTAATCATTTAGAAATTAGAATTATATGCATTAAAAAAAACTTAAATAATTTATTTTATTATTATTCTAAGAAACCGGAAGTCACTAAAAAGAAACAGGACTTGATAAATCCTGTTAGTTTTCTTGGGACTCTTTAACTGAAGTCATTGTTGCATTTGTTGGAGTTACAGGATATCCTCTGCTCTAAGCTTTCTTTTTGAAGGGCGTCAAAATATAATTTCTTTCAAAAGGATAATTTGTGTGCCTTGATTAATCAATCCACTAATTGTTTGTACAGTGCATGTGATCTGATATGATAATATAACAATTTGATTGCGAGGCACTCTATAAATTAAGTTGTTTGAGACAAATTTCAGAAACATGAACAGAATTAGTCTAGGATGGTGAAGACACTATGTTTGAGGCACAATGAAAGTTTGCTGAAGCATATTATACATGAGCATTTTGTCAGTTTTGAAGAGCTAGAGTGCTGATAGCTGAGGAGTTCATTATTACACGCATAATTCAATATATGCTGTCTCTTGTTCAGGGAAGTACGCCAGTCATGTAAGACTTGACACCAGACCAACAACTGACCAAACAATATATAACATTATCCCAAAATTGTAAAGAATTGGTCAATTTGAACTCGGTATCAAGTCAGTTGGCGGCGTGGCTGTAGGAAAGTGTCAAAGATGATTTGAGTTTAAGGAATAAGGGAATGATGTCAAGAGATAGAACAATGATTGAAGTGTGAATGCAATTCAATGTAGAGGTGATATTTAGGAAACAGAATATCCTTTAAGAGTTCATTGAACAGACGACTTCAAAAGAAGGACTAAGGCCGATGCTTAAGATGAATCTTGAAAACCCTTGATAAGTAAGTGTTGCTGAGTTAAGGATCTGTAATGATTAACGAGAGTGCTAGCTTCTGCACCTTCCCATTAAGCAAGTAAAGTGTTATAGAGAAGAACCTGCAGTTCTTAGGTGAGTGATGGGAATAGAACCGTTAGAGGTCTAATGGGTTTGGTCTGAACAAACAAAGAAAAACTGGAACAAAATTAGCAGAATGGACAGAAAGAAAGATTATTTACGGTATAGTTAATGGGAAACTGGGAGATGACAAATGACTTGCCAGTCCAGAGGTTTTAGGGACAGTTTGGACATGAGAAAACAGATGTCTTTAAAGTTATAACATGTACATGGATGAGAGGGAAGATCAATGTGAGATTGTCTTTTTACAGGATGAAATAAAATTTTAAAAAATTTAAAAGTAATAAATTAAAATATGCAGTGAAAAAAATAATTATACTTGATAAAGAAGTAATTAGTAATGGTGAAGGATAATATTTTATTGTGCATTATTCATTTGCTTTTTGAATTGTAAGTTCAGAAGAGGGAAAATTAATTTGAGATTATCTTAACATGACATCCAAAATATAAATGAATAGATAAATAGATAATAATGCTGAGTAGTAGAACAATTTAAGTCTTGATGGATAGGTTTTTTTTCTAGGTTTTTAAAGCAGGCATTTTCATGAAATAAAGTAAAAAGTAGAATGATTTTTTGATGACTTTGACGGCTTTGATTAGCCACAAATGGAGTGTACTATAAACTGTAATAATTGTATGCAATTTATTGACACTATGAATGGAATTTTCTTTTTGTAAATCAGAATTTAGGGTGAATTTTTTCCTTGAGCCCCTACGATACCCTAATGAATGACACATTTTAGATTCTATTTTTATAATCTTCCATGACAGACGTTTTATTCAGGGTCAGTATAATTAGCAGGTGCTAGGGGCTGCACTTTCTAAGGGCAATCAGGAGCCCAAAATGGTTTGTCATACCAATACTAACTTTATTCTTTTTATTCACCTTTCCCTGAATCTCACATTTAATTTGCTGTACTAATTATGAATATGAATAAATTCTGCATACAACAAACATTTGTTCAATGCAATAGGCAGTATTGTTTAAGGTACCTTAATTGATATTTAGGGATGACATTTCTTTTTTGTAAGAAATGAAATGTGTATCCCCCATTCTAGTCTCATTATGGTCCCTTGATATCTAATTCATGTAAAACTCTATTAAAAAATATATTGTTCGGCAAAGCACAGATTTTTTTTAAAAATAAGAATGTTGTTCAGAATTTCAACTGAAATATTGTAAATTCATTTTAAACAGGTTTTTAGAACTTTTAAATTCTTAAACGTTCTTTTAGATAAAATGCTGCGAAGCATTTACATTTATTCAGATGATACACAAATGTATAATTTATTTATTGATATATCTATCCTCTAGTCAAAATGATAACTTGTTGAACTTGTTGAAAAGTTTGAAAGAAAAGGAAAAAACCTTTTCTACCACAGAGAGCGATCAGGAAGGTGTTTTCCAGCTATCTGTGATCCCCTTAAAAAAAGTGAAATCATTAATATTCAAATAAAAGCAGATTAATGTAGGCATTCACAAACTTCTTTCATGATAGGCTAATTATTCAAAATTAGGAATAACATATAGCTACTGTTTATTTGTAATTAATCAGTTAACACAAACATATACTCACAATGTTGTTATTGAATAATACTTTCAGCAGGTAAATTTCCTCCTTGTTTTTGATGCCTTGTTAATATCCAGGCAATATCCATAGAATGGTTGGCTGAAAATGATTGACCTTACTCTCGAAAGGCTTGCTAGTTTCTATCCCTAGCTAGAGCTTCTAGCACTGAATTAAACCAAGACTAGAGTGCACTTGTGCGTGGATAGTTCCCTGCTTTATGCTCTCCGCTAGCTGCTTACTAATGACTGTATGTGAAGAGGACTGAACCATTCTCCTGCAGGGAGGAGGCAGTGAGTGTTGGGAGGGACTAGATGTCGTGCTTAATTGTCATCCCAGGGTGGGTATATGACGCATTGCATGATTGGCAGAGAGCAGAATGGAGCAGTTTGCTTTGATCAGGTACTGATCTGACTAATATAACATTCAACACAGGTAGCTCTTAGAAAAAGTTAGAAAAAGTTATCCAACTTTAACACCTGATAGGGACATCTTATTTTAAAATTCATTATCCATCATAAAGATATATAACACTAATAATATTCAGTTCTTGTATAGCGCATAATACGTTATGAAATCACATCTCTATGCTTTTCCAAAGAGCTTTGGAAATTATTACCCTAGCTTTTTGTTTATTTGTATGTTTTATTAAATCAAAACTAATATCACAATATTTACAGGTCATCAATAATGATTGGTACATAACAAAAAAAAAGATACATATAAAAAATAAAACTTTAGATCATGTCAATAAACTTGTGTACTTGTAAATATGCTTCAGGAAAGTTTGGACAGTGTCAATGAGAAAATGGGCTTGAATTTCTATGTGATTTCCTGTGATCTCCTGTGATTTTTATGATCTTGAAAAAAGAGAAAATACCAACAATATGAGAAGTTTATACATGAACTTATTTACAATAGAGAGAACAAAAAAATAATCAGATACTGTAAGTTGCGAGATAAAGTATGTCTTATTGTGGGCGGGGGACGGTAAGCAACTGAGCATTCGCATTTTAAAGAAAATGTGTAATTGGCATTTGAATACCAATAAATTGAAACTGAGAACATTCATGTCCCAGATATAAACATATTTGAAGAATGGACAAATAGAAGGAGATCGAAAGGATTACCCTAGTTTTAATTCTAAGGGTATCCTCCTTGTTATTGACATGGTCTTGAGAAAGGGGTGGTCCTTGGCTTTATTTCTTTCATTTGGCCTAGCCAACATCATTCAATGACAGTTTATTGAGCTGTTATCTGTTTGATTTAAGGCCAGCTTTATTTAGAGAAAGTAGTATTGCGACAGTGATAGGAGTGGAATGATTGACGAGTATTGTGCTTAAAAGTCAGATTCCCATCTGAAGAATCATGCTCTTAGTATTTGCCATGGTCATAGAATTCCTGTAATTCACCCGCCCTTCCCTGAATTTCAAAGTCATAAAGTCAGATTGATGACCAATATTGTTATAAACAGAACCATCCAATTGAAATAGAATTTATCACTAAAGGTAAACCTTTCATTCTTTTTAAATATATCTTTGCAAAAGGAGTAACCCATAATATTTAATGGATTGTTCCGTCTTTTAAAATTAACAAAGGGCCTCTTAAACTTTTATTCTCATACCAGCAATCTTCATCACAATCATTAGGAACAAATGAGACATATCAAGTTGTGTAGGAAGAAAATTAAAAGGTAATAACATTGATTTATAATGATATAAAATATCCTGCACATCAATACTTCATAAAATTACTGGCAGGGTAGATGAGGACTTTATATCCAAAACAAAATGTAACCCACTTTTGAATGATGTGTGCAGGTCAAAAGTGCCAGAAAGAAAGTGTAGCAGAAACACATGAAGCTCAAGAGTTTGAGCATGCATTACTTCTGTACCTTGATTCTAGGATGTAGCCAGCTGAAAAAGTTGCTATTTTGAGGTTGTTCACATCCTTTTTTAGATTTCTTTTAGAAATGTTTGTTGCCTTTTTTAGAACATGACACATTTAATGTTCATATCATATGAGGCTAGAAGGCTTTATAACCCATGATAGTTCCAGTTTAGAGCCACTGTAATCCTGACTTAAAGCGCTGTCTTAGAGAAGCTATGGCTGCATGTGGATTTCTCTCATTAGGCCTGTCCTCATCAGCTCGAGATTGCCAAATAATACGCTATTTGAACTATCCCGATCGCAATTTATCCAGTTAATTTGTAACTTCATTAGCCCGAAGTTGCAATTAGCAGGATATTTGGTCGGGATAATCATCCCAAAATATTTTGGGCTAGTTTGCAAAATATCCCGCTATTTGTCCAGTGCGTCTTCACCAGCCTGAAGACTTGCACTATATGCAAACGCTGTGCAAAAAATCTCGAGCTAATTTCTTTAGCTCAAGTTTCAAGTATCGGAGTCGAGTCTCGTTCTGATGAAGACACGATTTGTAACTTTGGGATTATTTCCCAAATCAGAAATAGAGGGCTATTTGGCAATCTCGAGCTGATGACGACAGGCCTTAAGGAGAAGCATGTGAATCTGACCTTTACATGTATGGAAGTGCTCCACCCTTCACAAATAAGCGTGACGGAACTAGGCCTAACCGCCAGGACCCGACTCAGCAAAGTTAGAAGGGGGCAAGAAATCCCTTGATTTGGCTCCTAAAATGGCAGCATGAATCATGTGCTGTATTTTTAGGATTCGGCAGCGAGGCGTAGGGGGTAAGAGACAACCCCCCAGGGGGTGAAGAGGATGTACCCTGTCAAGCATGTTAGACTTGAGCGGACCTACGTCATGATCATAACCCTGGTCTTCCTGGTCTTCCTGGATCATAGAAACCATACAGCCTGCCTGCTGCCGATGGCTTGAGGGCGTGTCTACCTTCACTGACGAACAGTTACCATGGTAATCTGGCAGCATTATTCTAAACATGACCAGTCTTGAAGGATGGACGACATTTGAAATCCTCAGAGCAGATATCCCGATCAACACTCATTTTGAGAACATTTGTGAGCGCTCCTGTCCTGATCAAATATGATGCAAATAGTATGGAATCTGAGATACATGCCTAAGCGAAAGTCGCTCCAGAGCCCCTGTCGTAAATAGAGTTACGATTGACCTGAATATGAATATCAACTCTTTTTAAGACGAGGCCCAGAATTAGTATCCTACTCTAAACCAAATACTTTACAGCAACTCAGAACCAAATACTATACCAAAAGCTTACCTTACACCTAAACCTAAACTCAATTGCAACCCTAACCTTCTAATACCTTTGGCAAAATGAAAGGCGAGGCAAATGTCAGGTCATCAAATTACAAATTTTATGATGTAGGAAGATAGCTGGACAGAAGCCTTGAATACTCAGCTTATTCTTGTTAATTATGGAAGTAATTTGGTAAGTTTGGAACATGTTTATAACAAAATAAAAGGCTCATTTCCATTATCATTTCACTGAATGTCTGAGTAAAAATGGGATATCAAATCAAAAATGAGAAATGGGAGCACCTTCGCAAAGTAAAACAAGCAATTCAACATGACACTTTGTCCCCCCCCCCCCCCCAAAAAAAAAGAAGTTCATTGATACTGAGATTTATTATTTGCTTCCACAAAAATAATAATAATAATATTGGATTCTTATATAGCGCACGTATCGACCTTGCAAGGTCCTCAAGGCGCTCCAACATTACCCGGCTATGCTAGGCTGCCGATTTCGACGCTCACAGCATTTCAAGAAATTCCTTCCTACCGGTACCCATTTAACACCTGAGTGGAGAGTGGCAAGTGTAGATCAATGTCTTGCCACAGGACATTAGTGCACATTAATGAGATTGCACCAAATATTTTACGAAAATATCACAATTGTCCACCATGGCTGAAGATTACTTGCCATTCTTTATCCTACTACCAGTAACATATTACCTGTTGAAAACTCCCATGCATTTATATCCTCTATCCTTTATAATATATAAATAGCTCACCTCGCTTCAAAAGAGAATAAAAATCCTGTCCACATCAACATTTTGTGAGCAGTTCCATAAATCCCCCCAAGTCCATCATGTCAAAACATCTGATAAATGAAGAGCTGATCTAGTTTAAATCTGATACATGTCATTCTGAATGATTTATGCATGCATTAATAGTTCTTATGCCTTTGAGCTGTGCGAGGCATTGCTACTACGTATGTCTATCATGAGTTCTGATTGGACAATATACCTGAACTCTTCAGCCAATCACAGCCAAGAGAATATGACTGGGGGATGTTCCTGTAACGTGTCATATGAGAGACAAGTCTTATCATAATTAATTGATGTTTATCATCTTCCCAATCCTTCTATTTGTAATGGAAATTAATAGGAAGCACAGGATATCCTTGGTAATGTTATGGTGATGGGTATCAAACAGAATACTTCATGAACCTGTAAACTGAAATGCTGGCATTACATAGCACATTAAACAGCATCCAAGAGTTGAAGTCTTGGGAGTTGAAATAAAATAATTGTACAATGTCAGAAGAATAAAGTGAAAATATGAAACTGTCTTTTTTAGCTGATGATAAAACAAAACAAGTCTATACTTCTCAGAAGGGTGTCTATTCATAATATTTTACTCAGAGTCAACACTTGTCTGGCTCTCAACGAGTGATAATAATAATAAAAATGAATTTATATAGCACTTATTCAATCAATATTAGACATCTCTATTAAAGTGCTTTAAAAAGTACACAAGAAATAGATTTAACTCGAATAATAGTAGAACTAATACAATGTGATAGAGTGCAATACTTAATTGAGACAAAATAATTAGGTTTTTAGACAATTTTTTAACCGATTAGTGGACATAGCATTACGAATTTGAGAGGAAGAGAGTTCCACAATGTTGGGGCGATGGAGTTGATATATATAAGTATACAGTTGTTTATCCCAAGTTAGTGACTTTTGGTAACAGTTTCCACGGGTCATTTGTTCATTCTAAATCAAATATCAGTATGCAGTATTTGTTGAGAGAATGAGCATACATGCATCTTTTGGTAGCTTTGAGAGTATTAGGCGACTCTTTTCCAAAAATCAACACAAATTCTTAAAAACATTGAGGTTTGCTGAACTATCCAAATAGATTTATGAACCAAGTAACAAATGGGAGGATTAGGTATTTCACCACCAATATGATAACAGCGGTAGATAAAACAGGAGAGCTTTTAGCATCTTTCTAGTAAACAGTGGTCACTTGGTTTTTTTTTTTTAAAGACAGATTTCAAACAACAGGTTTATTTTGGTCTTCTATATTCTGAATCATCACCAAATTAATTATTGAAGAGTACCAGTAAATTGAAGGTTTGTAAATGATATTTCTTTTGAAATTCATAATAATTAGAATATATTATAATGAAGCTATAGCTGGGAAAAGGCTTGTCTGGGATAAGGCTTGTCATTGTAAATGTAAAGAGGGAGGGGGAGCTAGTCAGGTTCACACAAAATTCTGTAAAGTTAAAGTTCAGCTTATTGTTTTAAACTTTGAGGTCAGCTTTCTAGTTGCACACTGTGCAAACACACTAGTCGTTATGAAACTTCAAGTTTACTTGAAGTTACAATTAATGCAATAACTATGAGTTGCGGGGGATCCTCATTCAGACGCAGTGAACTTTGGTGGTATGCCAGTTTTTAGTTGAAATGACTGCTTGCCCATGCAGCTGGTAGTTTAAAACCTTGAGTACATGAATATAGCCTTTGATGATAGCTAATAAAGACATGTGATTGGTGTGTACCCCATACTCTACTTCCTACAAATACCTGATCTATCATTACCTAAGCACTAGCAAAACATTCCTTGTCTATCGGTCAACCGTGTTCGTAATTAAGAAGACATATAACGCCTACTTCTTGAGATCCTGTTGTCTTTTCTGTCAAATCAAAGGTTAATTGTTTGCAGAAGAGAAGGGAAATGTCTTGAGAAATAGGGGTAATCATTCATTCTATTGTCCAGGAACAAATAACCATGCAGGAAATCTGTCTGCAGTGAGTTTCATTTCTTTCCTGCTGCACAAGTACGATGGAGTTATTTCAAGGAATCAGATATCTTATGAGATTGGTATCTGTGATATATCAGAATGATAAAATCTAGCCTGTCAAGATATTACAGTAGCTACATGTATGTTCTCACGGTGCCATCGTTGGATCTAGCAAATGTGATGTCTGTTAACTTGTGAAGGGGGGGGGGGGGAAGCCAACAGTTGTGTTTAATACGTAAAAAGACCAGTAGACAAATAAAGGTAGCAAACTGTTGGACATATTATTGCACAAATTTATAATATGGGTTTCGATGGGATGTCATTATGTCGGTGACCTCCTACCGGTACTTATGATGCGTTTTCTGAAATACTGCCCTTGGTATAATGATGAAACTCTGGTTAGTAGAAGTGAACGCAAGACCTTTTTTGTTATAGAACTGAGGACATTGGTGATGTTTTGTTTTTGCAGGGGGGGGGGGGTTAATTATGTCTAGTCACAATTTTTTTGGATTTCCCTCAATTGATCCTCATTCTCAGATAGCCATTTAATCAATATATCCCCCATCTTCTCCATTAAAAAGTCTGCAGAACTAATGAGGCTGATCTATCAAAGAGAGAGAGAAAGAGGAAGAGGGGAGGGGGGCAGAGGGAAGGACAGATGGGGAGAGTGGGAGTAGGAGAGAGGGAGAGAGAGAGTGAGAGAGGAAGGTGAGGAGTAAGAGATGGGGAATCAGGAGGGATGGAGGTGAATGTGTGAGAGATAGAGAGACAGAGACAGGAAAAGGGGGTGGGGTTGAGAAAGAAGGGAAGTGAGGGAGGGATAGAGGTAGGTGTGTGTGTGTGTGTGTGTGTGTGTGTGTGTGTGTTTGGAGAGAGAGATAGAGAGAGAGAGAGAGGGAGAGAGAGAGACTTTGTGTGTGTGTGAGAGAGAGAAGAGGGTGGGGGAGAGGGATGGAGAGCGAAGGGAAAAAAGGAAGATAGAGAAGGGAGAGAGAGAGTATTGCTATAGAACAAGGATGAAGTCTCTGATAATAATTTCTGACAAGATAGATTATAATCATACACTTATTGCTTACACCTTTACCATTTGTATTCTTTCTTCTAGTTACTTTTCTCGCACACTGTCTTTCTGTAACAAATCATATCTCTTTGTATTTCCCGCATCATGCCAATGAATAAACTCATGCATAGTATATCAAAAACCAATCTCAGATGTCATAATATATTTCTGTCTTTCTGTAACATATCATATCTCTTGTATTTCCCGCATCACGCCAATGAATAAACTCATGCATAGTATATCAAAAACCAATCTCAGATGTCATAATATATTTCATTGTATTCCCAATGAATTTGTGGAACCTTCCATCATGATTAAATTCAGTTTAAGAAATTCCCTAGGAAATTCAGTATCTCTAGGGTCCAGAGATGATTTATTTATACTGCATCATGCTATTTTCACAGATTGCTCTTAAAGGTACAGTAATACAAAGTTTTGGGAAACTTTGAAATTGGCTGAATAGCGATTCTATTAAATGTTGATATATTTGGATGCCCCTGAGTGTGTATTATAAGCATTAGAAAAATTAGTCGCTAAAACGCTTCTGCTTTCGAGAAAAATTTAATATAAAAATTTACCGGTGCTCCCGGTAAATCTCGATAAATTTCAAATAGCTTATACGGCCATCCACTGGTAGCTGCGATCATGAAACTCTCAGAATATGCAGTTTTGATATATAATTTCCAAACGGGAATAGCTAATAGGTCGATTTTAATCCAGAAACATTGTTTTAAAGCTAAATTAATATCTTGAACTTGAGAGGGAGCTATACAACATAAAGACTTTATTATTTACATTTTCATCACTTTAGACTCGATGTCAACCTTGACAATGATCGCTGAATATTGTAGGGTCGCATATGCTTTCAATATGTTCATTTGAATGAACCAAATTCATGACCCCATACTAAAACTTTGTATTACCTTTAAGGTGTACATTACCTAATTTTAAAATTGCTCCTTGCTTCTTGTATTTCATTTACAATTTAAATTATTATACAATGAGAAAGAAACCCAATTACTACTCCATAGGTGTATTGTGTAGCGTGACTTCTCCTAATATAAATGATATCCCTGGACAAACACTTGTCTCTATCTATGGATAAATAATAAATGATGCAAACCTCTAGCCCTTTCAGGCCACCTCGACCTGTTTGTCCCATTGAACCGGGTGATTCATAATTGAGCAAGAATCTGCTCTCAAACACTGATAGATCCTGATAAATTTCTCCAACTACCATTCAGACCAAAAGGCAATGAGAGCTTACCAATTGTGAATCCTAGATTGGTCCTTGTTTAAGCATGTTGTCATGGAAATAGGAATTGTACTACAAAAGTAGACGATTTGCATGGATAATCTTCATCCTCAGACACATACATCCATCAATGTTCATCAGTGTTCCATAATGATTTTTTTTTCTTGAATATAGTTGATTGGGGGAATCACAGGTAGATTGAAAAGGGGGTTAGGAGGTAACTTTCGCCAAATTGTCATCCTTGTTCTTCAGTTGCAGTGCAGGTCATCATCAGGTGTTTTGTTGTACTATTGCGGTGCAGTGCAGGTCATCATCAGGTGTTTTGTTGTACTATTGCGGTGCAGTGCAGATATATGATCAACGCCTGATATTAACTTTACTCACATGAATTAATTCATTGTCAATGTATTCTTGATCTTAACAGGAGTCTCCAGCAGAGCAAGTGATCCTGAGGGACATCAGCAGAACCTTCACCGCTCATGAGAAGTTCTACAATGAGAACGAAGGTGGCCAGGATGCTATGTACAAGATCAGTAAGGTAAGTGCAGTGAAACCTGTCTATAAAGACCACCCAAGAGAGACAAGATAATTGGTCTTTATAGGCAGGTGGTCTTTATGTACAGGTTCGTTTAGTGCATGTTTCAATGAGAAACTATTTTCAAGGGAAACAAAAAATGTGGTCTTTGTAGACAGTTGGTCTTTCTATACAGGTGGTCACTAAAGCAGGTTTGACTGTACCAGAGAGTACCAAAGTGTGACTTCATACTGGCCAAGTTGTCAAGGTCGCAGTTTCCAAGCTATTTTGTGGTGAACAATGGCGTAGTGATCACATCAGCCCCAACACTGAATTTGCCCTGCTCCAGCCCGTTGCTAAAGCAATTTTTGTGGTGAACCTCATGAACAGGCTCTATTATTTTAAGAACAGTAACTTGGACAATGAGTGAATATGACGTTAGCACTTCGGTTATGTATGTACTCCAGCTAGGTCAACTTGCTCTTCATACCTTGATTGAGAGGCCACCTACTCCTCTTTTATAGGAAGTTTACTTTTAGAATAATCTAAGACTTTTCGAAAACTTTGACCAACATTATTTCAGGATGGAAGCTGCAAATTTGTTTTTATTTAAGGAAGTTTGTTGTTGACAGGCTTCAAAAGTCTGTACCCCAATCGATGTCAGTAAGTGATGGTATTCTATTTTGTGTTGTTATGCCCAAGGTAAAAATCAATTCTTGAACATGTGTGAGTTTTTCCTGCTTTAAGCCATTCACACGGTTCGTTTGTACTGTGTGACCATCCATTTTTTAAAGGTTGACCTATTTCTCTTTCTCAATGCATTTACTACATTATTTCTTGTTTGTTTGCAGAATTATATCTCACTTCAATGATTTCCTTACCATTTTCATTGAGAAAAAAAATCACCATTCCTTAACTTTGATTTCTTCTCATATATTTGTCTTTATTTTATCATGCTCTCTCTCTTTCTAACTTGTTCTCAATCTTCCCTATAGCTCTTCTATGTCCCCTGTCACTCCAAATTGGTATCTCTATCTCTCTTTCTCTCTCAGTTTATCCTATCTTTCTCTCCCTGTTTATCCCATCTTTTTTTCCCATTCTCTTTCTCTTCCCTTGATCTTTTCTCTCTTTCTCTTCCCTCTATCTCCTCTCTTTCTCTTTCTTTGATCTCATCTCTCTTTCTCCATCTTTTTATTCTTCTGGATATATTCATGCATTCTTCTGAAAAGTGTGACTACATATATATCTCTCTCTTTCCCACTATGTTCATGATAACATTGTCCAACTATCTCTCTCTCTCTCTCCTCAATAATACAGGCTTACTCGGTGTATGACAATGATGTTGGCTATACCCAAGGCCTCTCATTCCTGGCTGCTGTCCTCTGGCTTCATGTAAGTATCAAGTCCTACATGTAATCTTAAGAGATGTCAAATCAGGTGAGAGTTGTGACTCTGGTGTCTGCAAGCATTTATTGTTTGGGTTTGAACTGGTTTATTGATCAAAAAATATATATTCAAAATATCAGTCAGAGGCTGAAACAAAGTGAATTTACAAAATATAAAAAATTACATTAAAATACAATACATAGAAAAATTGTAAGATAAAATACCTTAATATGCACAATAATATAAAACCTAGTAATAACATTACACAAAAGAGTCATCAAGGAAATGGAAAAATACAGGGAATTGAAAAGGACAGATGAAATAAAGCATGAAGTAGAAGAAGAGGAAGGAAAGACATATTTGGATAAACATTGAAATTTATAATAACAACATAATTTCAACCAATGATGAGAGATCTTAATTGGAATATAAAAAATGGTGCAAGATAGTTACTACAATCATTAAAGTATAGATATTATTTTCTCATTCCCCTTGGTATGATTGTCAAGGCTGTTCACATTCATGTAGTTTAACTTATCAGTGTTGTTTCATACATGTTATTTTTGTTCTTCTTTGGAGAGCGAATACTGTCTTGTAGTATAACCTGTCGCCTAGCACGTCCCTATAGGACCATATCAATCAGTAGGTACAGAGACTGTTCATACGTGCAGAGATGTATAGGGTCAAAGGAATCATAACAATCTGCTTCATTGACAAGGTTAATCCCTCTTCATAATCAATATACATCACTTACATTCCCTTGGTAACAAAAAACATTATTATTATCTTCAAACTTTGGCGAGAAAACTCATTGTTGATATGATAAATCATATATCAACTGAACAATCTTATGTGGAATGCACTCGTTTGACATTATCTTTGACAATGCTTGTATTTTCTTTGAACTTGAAGTTTTGGCATCTTCATCTGAACATGTAACTGATGTAAGATAGATTGACGGCCACATATTTTATATAATTTATCCGATAAAATATGATATAAAACAAAAGTCTATAAATTAAGCAATCGCCTGACTAAGAGGGGGGGGGGGGGGGTGGGGGGCGACAGTTCTCTACCCATTTAGCGAAGAGTACAGTGACACAAAGTAATATAAATGTTACATTGTCTGATAGGCCATCTTTGTAATGTAACCAAATTTAATGCATACGTCTTTTTGAAGTGCCTCAATACAAATTATTTCATTCATCTGTTAACAATAATTGTATTTCAATTGTAAGAATGCAAACTGCTTCTATAATGTGTTGTTAGGTAGGGTAAGCCTTAATGTATATCTAGCCTAGCAACATATACCGTTTGCAATTCACATTCTGACTAATGACATGCAATTATTTGTTACAAGTGAATGGAATAATATGTATCAGGCACTTCACAAAGACGTATGCATTAAATGTTATTACATTACGAAAATAGCCTTTTTACAATGAGCTTGAAACAGAGTTTGAGAACTGTAAGGTTGTTGCTATGGTAACATACGAGTTGTTTGCTGTCTGTGGCTCTGTCATTGGAAAGGATGACGAGGTAGGTCGGACAATGTTATCCTTGAATAATTGGGTTATATGATTCTGATTGTTCATGAATATTGCCAACTCTGAAAATAGATCAGAAATTATATGAGTCAGATACTATTCATACATTATTCATTGAAGCAAAGTAAAGACATCATAAATTGCTCTAAGTAACAAACATTGGCAAGTTTGTAGAGAAGAAAATCAAATTTGTAAAATTCATAGCAAGTTTCAATATGCACTTTCCATGAACGTTACGAGGTAGAATTGCAAATGAAAAAAAAATTTCCTTGCCTCGTGGGGGTCATGTATTATGAAATGTGCTCTTGGGGGTCATGTACATGTATTATGACACATGGCTTTACAAAAATTGACCCGTATATTCTCAACCATTATTCATAATGGATCCGGATCTTGATTTTAAGGAGAATCAACTTTTGAAAGTGCATTTGTATTATTCATTCACTCTGTTAAATTTGGTAATCTCTACTTTTTTTTTCCGGCCCCATCTCTCTCGGCTGGGGGTCCTTTTTTATTGCTCTTTTATTTTCCTTTGTCAGCATTTGAATATGTTTAAAAAAACAACACTAGAATTCTTTTGTTCATTATATTTGGCACTAGCAGCCAGAAAGTCAGTGACAGTGAGAATTCCTGACCCATAAAGTACTGCATCTATTTAAAGAGTCCAACAATCAAACTTAGAGGCCATTAAATTGGCTGAATTCAGGCTTGATCTCTCCAGTGTGTCATGAAGGATGTGGTATACACAAGGTCACCATACACCTAGCTTTTTTTAAATTTGATTTTATATAAGATGATAACAATGTGATTAAAAAGAACCGCTCATCTATTTTCATAACTTTTGATGACGGATAACAAGTTTACTTTTAGTCTGTAGGGGGTTATCTCGATTGTTCATTCGAAGAAATGAATGCGTCAGCAGGTTGATCATCTTTATAATTAGTGAGGACCCGGACTCGTTATTACCTTCAAAGAAATTGATTTTTTTTTAAAATAAGTTTTTTAAGATTGAAGAGATGTATTACTTGTACATTATATCCTAAAGCAATGCCCAGGGGTAATGAGACAACCAAAGAAAGAGATGAATGAAGGCGTACATGTAACATCTCACATAGACGTGTAAGAGATGATACCATTTTGCTTGAAAAAGAACTGCTCATCTATTTTCATAACTGTTGATGACGAACAACATGTTTACTTTTAGTCTGTAGGGGGTAATCGTGATTGTTCATTTGAAGAAATGAATACGTCAGAAGTTTGATCATCTGTATAATTAGTGATAACTTGGTCTCACTCGCATGAATTCTGCTATCCACCAATGAGGATTGTTATGTCAGGAATATTTATTGATTATTTGGTTGCCAGCTGCTTGCGGGGAGCCTTCCCTCCTGTAGATTTGCGAGGCCGCCATCGATTTCAAGCTTACCGCTCATGATGGCGGTCTCCTGCATTTTCTGTAATTTATCTTTCTCTTTTTTTTTCTTTTTTTTTCATTGAAATTATATTTGTGTTTGTATGCATCTTATTCAATGTACTTAAAAACGTATAATCATGTAAAATGAAGAAATATTTGTTACTTTATGTATATGATTATTTTTCATTTTGAAAATGCAGAAATTAAAATAAATAAACAAACAAAACAAAATTATCAGGGTATGCCCAGGCAATCAAGAAATTTTAAAATAAAAATACAATGTTTGTGAATATCTTTCAAAATTCTTTTCAAAGAGGGTCCTTGAAGTTTCAGGGAGGTGAACATGACAAATAAGAAAGTTTATATTGTCAAAATTTTCTAACAACTTTTTATTTTCAATTAATAATAATAATAATAATAAATCTATATAGCGCAGCTTTTTTACAAATAAATTCATCTGCGCTGGTTCAGAGCTCCATTTTTACTAAATTCTACAAAATTGTATCTCTCCATTAAACAAATATGTTTTTAATTTGGATTTCAAGACATTGGGAGATGGAGAGCTTCATATTGCTATTGGCAAGCTATTCTATAGTTTGGAGGCAGCAATAGCAAAAGCATGGTCCCTGACTTGTACTATCGTTTAGCTTAAAGATTATTATTAAGCATCCATCTACAGTGTATGAATGAAATTAACACACTTTTCCAACATTGGAACACTTGCATCTTGAGTACTAGGGGATGGTCAAAAGTACAAAAATAATTGTGTGTCGTGTGCATAGCAGTGACAAGAGACTTCAGGAAATGTTTCCTGAGTGCTCTTGATTAGATTACTCGTGTACAAGATAATTACAAAGCCCATGGTGATAGACATGATGCATGATATTCCTATTGTTTACATCTACATCACATCAAAGTAGACTGTTATCCAACTGCGATGGGAATGTTTACATATCCAATATACATACACATCCATGTTATTCATAATGGGGAAAAACATGATTACTCAAGGCATATACATGTACATGTAAAACCCAGTTGTGAGATTCCAACAAGCCTCTCTCTCCCTCCACCCCTCTCTCCCTCCACCCCCTCTCTCCCTCCACCCCCTCTCTCCCTCTCCCCCTCTCTCCCTCTCTCCGTCTTTCCTTCTTTATATAAACTGAAAAAATTGTTGACTTATAAATTTATATTTTAAGATTTCATCATGTAGTATAATGCAATTTTCCCTATATCCAAAGAAGATCTATCTATCCATCATTTATGCTGCCTTTTTTTCTTCTTTTAGTGATTATGTTGTGAGTCAGTTTAATATGTAGCTGAATATAAAATAGGCTTGAATACGTTCCTTGTGTCTATTCTCTATTAAATATCATATGTACAGAGCCGGTAGGGTGTTATTTCCATGTTAAAGCCCTTAATTTGATTGCCCTTTCAATGCCCTTTTGGCCCAAAACATATGATATATTCTATGTATTAGTATACAAATGATACACAGCAGTGGAGGCATTAGTAAAAATTACCCACACAAGGTACCTTCGGAACAGTCTAAAACGCCCATTGGACTGTTTCGAAGGTATCGAGTGTGGGTAATTTTACTAATGCCCGAACAAAATGATGTGCATTATTTGTTTTATAAGATGATTTATTATTTGTTTCATAAAATGAAGTTTATAACATGATTTTACTAATGACAGGTCATTAGTAAAATTACGTGTTAGGCAAAATAAAGCCTGGTCACGTGTACGCTCTCAACCAATCATTTGATTAGGATCCGCTTCATCATCTTATGATATGTATTATTTGAATATCATACTATGATATATACTGTAATATTTTGAATAGATAAAGACTGATTATGTTATCCCATACAGATGCCTGAGGAGCAAGCGTTTGCAGTCCTGGTGAAGATCATGTATGACAAGGGGCTCAGGGACCTATTCGTCAATAATTTCCAGGAACTTCACATGAAATTCTTCCAGTTAGATCGACTTCTGGAGGTAAATAATCAGTGATAATTCAAGACTTTAAATAGACTAGGGGAGTGTTTCACAAAGACTATGATCAACTTTAAGTTGGACTTAACTATGGCAGGCCATTTATGCCACTGTTTGCTCTCACAATTATGATCTTTAGATAATATTTTTTCCTTCAATAATGAATTATCAAAAAATTTAAGAATTCCTGAAACTCAATCCCTGAGAAAATTCACTTGCCTCTGAAGGTCACTTTGAAGAGTATTCACTTTTAAAATGGCATCCAGATTTTTAGATTTTGATACAGCTGTGAAATTTTATTATTAGTATTACGGAACAATATACACAAGTTCTGTTTTTAAATTATTGTTGAATGGTGGAACTTATATCACATTTTTTGTTTATCAAATAATCCAATATCATATGCTTTGACACATGTCCTTTATCTTCTTGATAACAATCATGAGTAAAAGTAGCAGACTTTTTAGGTGTTGTGCTGTTGTTGAGATATGCCTACATGCAGGTACAGTCACAAAGAAGACCTTGTGTTTGATGATGATATAGAATATTTAGGAGCGCTAAAAATACCATAGGGCTTACAAATACAAAATATATGAAAAGAGGACAAAATGTATAGTCTCACAGGAAGTAGATCACATAGATCGCTGGGGAAAAGGCAACTTTTGATAGATCTTTTGAAGGTAGCAAGAAAAGTAATTTCCCTTATGGAAAGGGGGATGTTGTCTAAGGTCTTTGGCTACTGCAAAAACGTTTTTCAGCTGCTGAGAGTCTAGATTTCGGAACGATAAGTTTACATGTGTCGGTTGTTGAGCCATGTACATGTATATTGTCTACTACTGCAGGACCCCCAGGAACCCTTGGGGGTATGTTCGTTATAAGAAATCTTATTTTGTCATGTCATCTGGAGCATGCTATATATTAACATTGTCCAGTCTAAGAGATTGACTCACAGAAAGGTTGCAAAAGAGGTCTCTAACCTCGTACTGGTGAAGGTTGATTTTTTTGTAGTAAAACAAAAAACAGATTTGTTTGATATCCATGCAAAATTATATATCAACCATTTTTAAAATGTTATTTCTTCTTTTCTAACTACATTGTTGTGATATCCTTATAATAATCATATATTAATCATTTAAGGGATGTTATTTTGTTATTTTCTAACTACAATTTTTATTTTCCTCCCTACCTGCGCTCCCCTCCCATTGCTATCATTCCTCTTTCTTTCTCTCTCTAAATGTTCTGTATTCTTACCTCTCATTCGCTTTATTATACTATATTTTTTCTCCCTTCGTTCTTTATCCTTCCATTCCTCTACCCCCTCTCTCTCTCTATCTTTCTCTCTTTCTCTCTCTCTCCCTCTTTCTCTTTCTCTCCCTCACTCCCTCCCCTCCACCTCTTATTCTTTATTGTCTCTCTCCCTTCCACTCCAATCCCCCTCCCTCCCCATCTCTCTCTTCATCCATCTCGTCTCTCTCTCTTTCCCCTCCAATCCTCTCTCCCTTCCCCATCTCTCTCTTCATCCCTCTCGTCTCCCTCTCTCTCTCTCTCTCTCTCTCTCTCTCTCTCTCTCTCATCCTGTGTTGGTGTCTCCCAGGACAATGTACCAGACCTGTACAGTCATTTTGTTCACATCGGGATAGAGACCCACATGTTTGCCTCTCAGTGGTTCCTGACTCTCTTCACTGCCAAGTTTCCTCTTCACACTGTATTCCACATCATGGACGTCTTCCTCTCAGAGGTATGCACAAACATCCTCATAAACCAGGGGCCCGTTTCACAAAGCCTTTTTTCAATGACAAATGACAACAAATCAGTGACAAATCTGTTAGTAACCAATCAGAAGCAAGGATTTCAGTAGCTTATAACAAAAACTGTCATTTGTCACTGATGACAAGTTTTGTGAAACGCCCCCCAGTACAATTAAAAAATATACACTTCCCAGGTCCGAAAGATCTAGATAAGAAGTATGTCTGCCAAGAAATGATGGATTTAGAGAGAAATTAAGTGTTTTTTAGTTGAGTCTTGATAGCAGGGTGACTTGCTAGTGTAGTGCAAAGAAAAGGTGGATGACCAAATGAAATGTTGTCTGTTTGAAGCTAGGAGGGTGTTAACTCTGGGTGAAATTATATGAGTTAGCATCCTTCTGTCTCTTAACATACTATGTGTGATTTTGAGAGAAGAAGAGTATGAACTAGCCCTGATACTTACCTTCATATTAATGCTATCCCACTCCTGATGCCACTATGTGGATCAGCTTAAAAGCATTTTATCTAAACCATATTATATTCACTTACAATTCACAAAGAAAGATTAATGTCAGGAAACTAGCGTGGTGCACAAACATAAATCTAACATGTTAGATTGAGACATGGAAGGAATATGAACTGATGTATGTGGAGCATAAAGTCCCCTGTGGCCACCCCTTAGGGTTTGCTGAAGAGCTCTAAGCTTCCTAGATGCACTTTGGTGTAATCTGATCCATTTTTTAAAGCATTTTCAAACACATTCTATGATTAATATTTTAAAAAATCATTTTGGTTGAGAATGATTAATGAATTAATGAATTGACTGGTTACTGATTTTTAACGTGCACGATGACAATTCAAACCAGTTTCTTTACATTTTTAAACCTCCTGTGGACCACTCTTGGAAAAGTTATTTGTAGCTATGCATCCATCAAGCTCTGTTTACATACAATGATGTCATGTTCAATGTAATAAGATGTAGTACTTTACTAAATTTCTTGTTTTTCCCCCCAAGACCTTCTTTCATACTATTTGCTCTTAAAGCTTCATTGGGGCTTAACAGCACAGATTAAATATCATAAAACTGAATGAATCGGGACATGACATGTGTGACTAACCCAGAAAAAGAAATGAAAGACAGTTACTTGCTGTTGAAACATTCCCAAAGCTCTCTCTCTCTCTCCCTCTCTCTCTCAACCATGCATTCATAGAGCATTGGTATGAATTAACGCAGCTCATGGAGGCATACTTCTAAATATTGTGAATATTTGAAAATAATCATTCAAGTATTCATTCAACAAAGCTGTAAATACGTGCGAATGATTTTGATGAACTAAATATTTTGCAAAAAATGTTTGTCATGTTTTTGGTGAATGGTACAGTTTGACATTATCAAAGATGAGCAATGAAAAAGAAAACGATACATAAATTGTGCCAGGAAATCTGTTTTATTTATAAATCTGTTGCATTGGAAGGGATATTCAATGAAAAAGGTTTTATAAAAGAAGAAGAAGGAAAAAGAAATGAAAGAAATGCAATCTTACTTTCTATCCTAACGACTAGGTAACAGTTGATCTATACTTCATGTGAGAAACTCCCTTGCAGTGAATGAAATCAATGTTTACCCTCCGAGCTATAAAAACAAGAGATTCTGTTGTTTATTTGAAATTGGGTTAATGTCCCTTTAGACTGAAGCTCATCCTGTGGCAATGCTTGTAGGAAGAGCTTGTCAGCATTGAAAGACAAGGAGGTTGCAAGTCCTTGATCAATGATTCTTGGTCCCTGGTAAAACCAAAACATAGAGGGCAGTCACTCAATATAAATTGAGTGACACATTGGCTTGTATTTTCAGATTCAAAGATAGTGAAAGTGTGTCTAGGTGGCTTATAAGTGTCTTTTTGTTCTGGGCCCTGTCTCATAAAGAGTTGATATCAATCGCAAACTATGTACATAAGAGATAGGAGATTGCAAACTTGCGATTGATAAGAAGACTTGCGGTTGATTTGGATCAATCACAACTCTTTGTAAGACGTAGCCCTGGTATGTTTTGTGTTTCAAAGGTTCAACTTCAGTGAATAATACCAAATAAATGCAATATTGGGGTGTTATTCTTATGATTGTTTTGAATATCTTTCTCACTCTCTGTATTCTTTGTCTCTTTGTTTGTTTGTTTGTTTGATGGTGTATAGGGAATGATAGTCATATACCATGTCTCACTTGCTCTCCTGAAGGTAAGTCAAACTTCATCATTTGATTATCAATAGTTTGTTTTAATATTTGTAATTAATCTGAATGTAATGCATGCATATAATGTATATTATTAGATGCAGTAAAAGACATGTGATCTTAACATCATAAAATGAACATTCTCTTCTGTTTTTTTACATGTTAGTACCTTATGAGATTTTTGAAGATGGCCTTAATTAACAATGTATGATTTAGTAACATGTTCAAAAACATTATATTTTATAGTAATGATAAACTTCTTATGTTTCTGGTAATTTTAAGATATTTTATATTTGTTAGTCTGTAAAAAGTTCATGTTACTTGTGATAAAAATTTGCTATTCCAGCTTGCAGTAACATTGGTGAAATCATTCCTGGCAAGGGGATGGTTAGAAGTAATTTGTTTTCTTCAAATTTCATTGATTACGTTCATTTCCTGTTTTCCCTGTGAGGAAGAACAAATAAAGAGTGAATTGAAAACATATTACTTTATAAAAGGTGCTCACATTTGTATGTGTTTCTTTTAATACCATGTGAATTGAAAGTTCTAAGAAATTCTTTTGTGATTCGTCACCATACAGTTATCTAAGAAGGAACTTCTTGGACAGGATTTTGAGGGTGTGTTGAAGTTCTTCCGGGTCACACTCCCTAAGAAATACCGCTCAGATGAGAGTGCTGTGGAACTCATGCAGGTCGCCATGTCTACTAAGGTAATTGCTCTTTTTACATCTTAAAGCCTATCTGCAATACTTTGGCCAGGGGGATTAGACCTCCCTGCGTGGTCACTGGCAGGTGGTTATCTCATCAAATCAGCTCTCAAATAACATTAAAAAAAGGGAACCATGGGGGATTAACACGTACCGCTTAGGCATTGTGGGCTATATAAAGGGGCGCAAGTAGCTACAAGTAGTGCAGTCTCGCTTTAAAGATTAAGTTGAGTTCTGGTTATGTGATTTTATTGTGAAAGAAACTCTGGAAGTGATTGGAAACTGTTACTTTTGTAACACACTGGAATTGTTATATATATATACTGTGAGGTTTTAGGGTCATCATAATAATGACTGCCTTGAAGAAAAAAAATCTATTGCAAAATTACATTGAGCAACCTTTCAGTTACAGTATTTTGTTATCAATTTATATGCCCAAATACCTTAATAAATCCAACTGTAGCTCCTGTTTAACGATCAGATAAATCATCAAAATGTTGAGTGTGAAAGTAGGCCTGTCTTCATTTGACGGAAGTTGGAAAATAACCCGCTATTTTAACTTACACGATCTCAAATTAGCTAACTAATTTGCGTCTTCATCAGCCCACAGTTGCGAATAGCGGAGGATATTTGGTTGAGAAAATATCCCAAGAAATCTTGGTCTTGTTTCCTAAATATCCCGCTATTTGGGAAATAGCAGGCTAATTTGCGCCCGTCCGAACTAGTTTGTGATGAGCGTATCGGTCTGGTGAAGCTGCAATTTCAAGCTTCGGGAAAAATATCCAGAGTCTGAAAATAGCAGATTATTTTGCAACTTTGGTCTGATGAAGACAGGCCTAAAGATATATAATAAGATCTACATGTATGTTTATCTATCTGCAGGTGAGTCAGAGGAAGCTCAAGAAGTATGAGAAGGAATTCTATGCCATGAAGGAGGAGGAGGAGAGAGAAGACCCCGTCGATAGATTAGAGGTAAATCAACAATTACCTCTTATATCCCTATAGAGTACCGAAACAGTGACGTCATAAAAATCTATTTTTAGAATTTCCGAAAGAGCATCAAAAATAATGTCCAAATGCCGAACTCAGTGTTATATGTTCTGCCTCCTAACCATTAGGAGCCAGAGCATACAACACTGAGTTCCCATAGGACATATATTTATTCAGATGGTTATATCTCAGCCAATTCTTAACATATTCAATTGGTTTTCGACATTTGGACATTATTTTAAATGTTCTTTTGGAAAATGAAGAAAAAATTGAGAAATTCTAAAAATAGATTTTTGATGACGTCACACTTCACCACTCTATAATTCTGTATATAAATGATGAATTACGTGGAGGTGTGGTGGTCCAGTGGTTCATTCACTTGACTCTTAATCCAAGGGTCAAGGGTTCAAATCCCACCCTGGTACCAACAGGCATGTCATTCATCCACTTTTGCCGCTCTCCACCCAGGTGTAAATTCAATTCAATTCAATTTCGGTTTATTAATATCAACATATACAATGTACAATGCAGTAGTCCAGGGACCAATAATGCAATGTTTACATAAAATGTGCATAAAAACAGGAATGATCATATACAGTAGGTTTGCGGGTGCACCATGTGTGTGAGAGAGAGAGAGGTTTGAGGAGTCCTGCAAAGGACTCTGACTCGGTAATCTTTCTTGGGGGAGTGTAGTCCTGAAAAGGACTGTTTGTTATCTTTCTTAGCATATAGTTCTAAGGAGAACTATAGTGCTTGGAGAGGATGAGTGGCTCGGCGTTTCGAACAGGTTGACTATCCGTCGTCAGGAGTGGAGAATAGCTGGCGTGCGTGAGCTTAAAGGGACTTTGTAACATTGTTCAGATGAGAGATAGTAGTGCTAAGGTAGTGACTTCAATGCTAGATGTACAATTAAAGATAAACTGAAAATTTGAGTGAAAACGGATCATTATTTATGGTACAAATTGGGAAAAACTGATCCGATCGATTCCTTAATTCTCCCAACTATATTATTCTACTCCTATTCTGCTACTTGTCAAAGCAAGAAGTTAGTAACTTCTTGGTCAAAGCATGTTCAGCATCAAGACAAGGACAATTTAATTACATTTTAGGTGAATGTAAATCGTCACAAAGCAATAAAATGGCTCTACATTCCATTCCAGACAGTTAAGTGTTGACATATTTTTATAGCCTGTTTTATGTATTTTTCTCATGGAAAAACGGTTGGGAAAATTCAAAAATGGTTGGGAGAATTTACTGTTAATCACTGTTAGAGGGTACCTCACATCGACGCCTTCAAAGAAAACCATAGATATCTTTGTGGTTTGAGAATTTGTTCAGGATTTTTTGCATGTCAGAGGGTTAGTATAGTAGAAGGAATATAGTAAGTAACATTTTATACAAAAATTAAGCAATTTTTTTCGTCAACCTTCAACAATGTTACCGAGTCACTTTAAGTCACCGGGGTGTAGACGTCAGGGAAAAATGGATGACCGTGTCGGCTTGAGTCATCGGGGAGTGGGCATGGATGGTCGGCTGGTTCGTCTGACTGTCCGTCTGGGCTGGAGTCTCCGGGTTGCGGACTTAGGAGAGTTTCGAGTCGATGAGTGGGGTGTGCTGTCGGCGAGACGCTGTGTGTGTCCCCGACGTAGGCGGCATTGTAGTCTGCTGTCGTCTGCTGTGCATTGTAGCTGTGAGGCTGGTGGCTGCTTTGAGGGTTCGGCGGGCGGCGGTATAAATGTACAATAAAATGGGTACCTGATATGCCAGAGCGCTACATAATTAGCTGCCAGCTATGACCAGGGTAATAATGTTGAAGACTTTTCTTTAATATATATATGGAAAGTTATTGACATGTATTTTTTCATTTTTATATATTACAAGAAGAAATGTAGATGGAGCAATGAGAAATGTACTAGAGGCATATCTTTATTGAGAGAGAGGAAGAGAGATATATATATATATATATATATAGAGAGAGAGGCATACCTTTGTTGGGAGAGAGAATGAGAGTGAAAGGAGAGAGAGAGAGATAGAGAATTGTGATTCTCTGTTTATATTATATTTATTTGTTTATATATTTTGATTGATTGTTTTTATTGATAGAGAGAGAACAAGCAGATGATGGAAGCCAATCTTCACTTGGAGAGGGAGAACGATGAACTTGCCCATGAACTCATCACACATAAACTCATGATGGAGAAACAACTAGATAAGGTACCGACGGATCATTTCAAATGAATTCAAATGTATTCACCCTTTCAGTAAAAAAAATATTGTGTAGATTTGAAGAAAAAAATATTATTGGCAATTGAAAATGGATTACAACAAAAGTAGTAGATGTGCTCATGTGAGGGTGTGTTTCTTATTAGTGTAAACCATTTCTTAATCAAATGTGTTTATGATTATTTACTAGAGATGAAATTAAACCATTATATGAAGGTGTCAAATTGAACATGTGACCATTGTATACAGATGAAGTCCGGTGAGATGGGATGAATATAACTGATCTCTCTTTGGATGAGGAGACACAACCACATCAGAATTAAAAAATGAGAAACATTTAAAAGCCCTTCTCTTGCAAAGTAAAAGAGTGCGGGGGGGGGGGGGGGGGGGGGGGGGGGCAAGGCAACACACGGGAAGTGTACGCTTTGGCCCTTCTGGTGCAAACATGAATACATGGCATATGCATGACACCCTTCCCGGCGTGAGTGTGGCTCTCTGACTACAGAACTGTATTGAAAGCAGTCATTCATGGGACACAAGACTAAGGTGGAATCTAGTTCCTAGAGAGTTACAGCAACTAAAAGCATCTTTACATGTAACATAATTAACGTTGTATTAACCAGACTTTTTTGCCGCCGAAAAAAATTCAAAGTCGGGGGTGTGTCTTATACACAGGTACAAAAAAAAAAAAAAATAATAATAATAAGTTTCAATTTATGCCCCTCCACCTGGCGCTATGCCTGGCAATGTCTCCCAGCTCAGTAGTCGGTGTGTTTACTCACCACTTGGAAACTAGAACAACACTCAAATTTGTCTGTCATCTTGGTTTAAAAGTAATCTTTCTGATAGATCTCAATATGTAGTTTATAATAATAATAATTCCTCCAATATTTCTTCTATTACACATGGCGTACCACAAGGCTCTATCCTAGGTCCTCTAATGTTTTTTAATTTACATTAATGATCTTACACATTCAACTGCACCTCGCAGTTAATTTTTTTTTAAGGGCAAAAGAGAGGGGTGCGGTTTAAATACACGAGGGCGGTTTATACAACATTAATTACGGTACCTGGTACCTCATCCCACTAGGAGATGTGTCTACGGTCGGAATAATTTTTGTTTCTATCATGATTTCTTTCCTTCAGGAGCGTGATCGTGCAGATGAGCTAGAGAAGGAACTCAAGGCTCTCAGGTTAGCACTCCATGACTCAGAAGAAGAGAAGCGACATCTGGGCTCAGAGACTGCTCAGGTAACTTTTTGGCTATTAATTGAAAATTAAGAGAAATTGAAAATATTTTTCTTCTTTATATTCTTTAATTTTATGTACCTCCTACACTTTCTATAGTTTTACATCTGTCAACCAAGGCCCCATCTTATAAAGAGTTGTGATTGATTTGGATCAATCGTAAGTTCTCCAATCAATCGCAAGTTAGCAATCTCCTATCTCTTATGTACATAGTTGTGGATGATATCAATCACATACAAGTTGCGATTGCCATATAAGACGGGCCCAGGTGTGCAGATGAGGTTTCAAAGCTGCTGAAAGATTGTAAAATTCTTGTTTTGAATCTTTGGGTACCTCCAATGTATTTTAGTTACAAAGACATATAGGAAAAAACATATCATAGTGCTTTGGTTAATAATCTTGAGTTCATCAAATTATTAATGATAATATCATCTTATATATGATTTCGTAGGTGAAGGAGATGTATAGAAGAGAGACGGAGAAGGCCGAGTCTGAGTCTAAGAGAAACTCCACCATCATAGGAGAATATAAACAGATCTGCTCTCAGCTGAGCGAGAGGTTAGAGAAGCAACAGACCGGAGCCAAGCAATCAATGCTGGATCTAAGGGTAAGAAACTGTGCTCAGTGCAATCTAGACTAGTATTAGACCAGGGGGTGTTTCACAAGATCCTAAGATGAACTTATCTCTAAGTTGGACTTAACAATTATGGAAAGCCGTTAGCATCTTTGAAAATATTTTGTAAAAGTTAGTTTAAAAGGCATGAAATATTGATTCAAATCAATCATATTTTCTATTATCATGGGAGATTTCATGTTCTTGATGTGGAATTTATGAAAAGTCTAAAACGTTTGAATTTTTGCTTTGAATGTAGGCTACAAATGGCTCTCCATAATTTTTAAGTCCAACTTAGAGCTTAAGTTCTACTTAGAATCTTTGTGAAACACTCCCCAGGGTTCTTATGGATTGTCTTTAGATGATATAATGAACCTGGTTAGAGTATCCAGGGGGGGTGTTTCACAAAGATTAAGATCATATTTAAGATGGACTTTACTATGGCAGGCCTTTCATGCGACCGTTTGCTCTCACCATTCACTGTCATTGGTCTCTCAAGAGACGTACAAATAATGGTCACAAATCTACAGAATTTACATTTTTTGATCATTCTTTAATGAAGGAAAAAATAATGGAGAAAGCAAACAGTGGCATGAATGGCCTGTCATAGTTAAGTCCAGCTTAAAATTGATTTTAGTCTTTACGAAACACCCCCACCCCTCCCCCTGGACATGACTGTGTGTTTGGAGCCAGAAGGGTGTTATCTCATGTACTTTAACACGGAGTTAAGGCCCGGCTCTTAATGGATGATATCATTTGGTAGACAGAGTCTATTGTTTACAGTGGTAGAGATTTTGTATCAGTTTATGAGATGGACATTGGAGGCTGTAGTAATGCCATGTGGTAGTCTTTTACTGTTGGTATATTCTCTTGTCCAAATATCCAGCTCATGAGGTGGTAAGAGTAATGACAGTAAAGCACCCAAAATCGCGTGCTTGATCTTGTATAAAGCCAAACAAATTTGTTACAACAATTGAAACTTCTTCCACGAAGCCTAGCTTTCAAAGCTATTGTCCTAATGGTGGACTGATGAATATTGATAAGTCAGAATGAATCAGGAGAGCTGAGGTATTTGTTTCTAGTTCATCGTGACTGTGCCATGGACCAGTGATAGCCTGGTGGTAGAGTAGCTGCCCGGCAAGCAGTAGATGGCAGGTTCAAATCTCTGGTTTTCAAGATTTTTTCTGACTTGTTTTCAATAACAAGATCAAGCACGCAATTTTGGGTGCTTTATGGGTCATGGTATAGTCAGACTGTTTGGTACTAGCACTGATTCATTGTGTTTTGATTTTGTTTGATAGGAGAAGTTACAGAGCTGTGATACCTGCAACAAATTGATCAGTGAAGACGGCAAGTACGAGAGATCACCGACCGACCCTCGACCTTCCTCAGGGGTCGATGATGAACCTGAGCTAGCAGCAGCTCTGAACCAGGTCCGAGAGTTTGAGTTGGAGCTAGCTCAGACCAAGCTACAGCTGGTTGAGTCTCAATGCCTGGCCCAGGACCTGGAACACCAGCTTAACAACGCAATAACGGAGGTCCAGGTGGTGAGAAATGCCCAGGCGGGAGGCAATGCTAATAGCTGGATCACCAAGACGTTCTCGTCGTTCTCATCGCTCAAAGAGGCCACGGGGGTAGTCAAGAAACTAGAACAGTAATACAGTCTAACCTGCTCTAGTAACCACCTGTCTACAAAGACCACTTATCTACAGAGACCACATATGTTGTTTCCCTTGAAAATGGTTTCTCATTGAAACATGTACTAAAGGAACCTGTACATAAAGACCACCTGCTTATAAAGACCACTTTTCTTGTCTCCCTTGGGTGGTCTTTATAGACTGGTTTCACTGTATCACGACACGTCCCTCACTAGAACAGTGAGATGATACACTACGAAGAGACATAGTTGTGGCTCTCCTCTTTCCATGAACTTTTGTCATAGATTCTGTATCTGTGAGATTCTACATGCCAAGAATTTGTCCCGCAAATATTTATTTGATTTTTCCCTGGTATAAGTATTATCAGTTGGTCAGAAACACACTCCAGATATGCAAGTTTCAAACTTACAGTTTGTGAAGTTGAGGCTCAGGTTCATGTATCCATACAACAACATTTTTTCTTGATTTATACATTTTTCATCACTTTGACTTTTTTTTGTGTCTCCAAAATTAAGGAAATTGTATTACATAACTGTTTATTGTTATATATGTTATATTTCGAATATTATTACTTATGATGATGTTAGAAAAGACAGATACTTTATATTTGTGATATGTGTGTAGCTTACTATTCATTAGACTGTCTACATAGCTATATACCTGATATCTGATAGGCTTACTAGACCAGTACATAATAGAGGGCAATCTGACCCTTGTAATAATTTCACTGGTATGAGAGCAGAAAAACGAGAGAAACAGAAAGGCAAAAGTTTGAAATAAAAATCAGGCTAATAGTGAGGGAGTTATGAAGTTCTTATAAGTTCGTATAATCTTCTTGAAGGAGTGGAAGAGTAATAGTGCTTCACATTAATTTCTTTCCTTATAAGTTATTTCTTCTAGTATTATTATCAGGAGAGTGTCTGATTCAATTTTCTTGATTTTGTTACCTTCTTGTGTTTTCTGTTTAAGTTTATAATATATTATCTTCAGTCATGCAAAGCCAAGGAGTCACTTTATTGCACCATCTCCATTAAAGATCAAGTTGAGTTCTGGTCATGCGATTGCATTGTGAAGTAAACCGTATGGAAGATTAATAATGTGGAATATAAGCTTTGGTGTATACTGTGAGGTTTGGAATCGTAAAAATGATAAGAAATTGGTCTAGTTTTTCTAAAGGTCACATGCACTGTGCACAGAAATGAGTATATGGGTCTGCACGACATGTGACACTAATGTTGTGGTCCACAATCCTGAGCTGTTACTTGTGAATTTCAAATATGAGGGCTTTTGAAGATCCACCCTTTTCAGAGGACTTTTGAAGATTCACCCTTTTCAGAAGACTTTTTCTTCTTCTATCATACTCTTCCACGCTAACATGAAGAGAATGAAAAAGCTTGCAAATTATTATTTACCATTCCCAGAACCCAACCTCCTCTTTAACGTTGAAAAGATCTCTGAAAATTGATAGAAAACCAGTGGCAACCATGTACAGATGTAAGGAGGACCAGTGCTCCGCTTAGCCTGTAAAGATGAAAGAACTGTGAAATTAAAATCCGGTAGGCTTTTTGTTGTTTGTAAATGTGTATTCAAATATGTGAGTAGATGCAGTATATATACGGTGTACACCAATTGTCTTGCCTAATTTACTAATCTTGTATCAACTTGTGTAATTGTGGAATATATCTATTTGTTGTATAACTTCACCTCTATTCATTCTCTGCAGCAGATAGGATGTTTATTTTTTCAGGATTTTCCTCTTACAGTCACTGTTGGTGATGTCAATGAAAGTTTTGTCTATTAAAGTTCAATTGTGTAAATATATGTAAAGCTTCAATACATCTCTCAATAACGGAGGCATCTTTCTGTAACTCTGCACACCCAATCTCACCACTAAGAATAACCTTAGGAAAACATTCTCTAATACAGTAGTTCAGGCTATGTCAGGCATTGTATGGTTGAGTAGTTTTTAGGTGGTTTTGTTGGAAAACCTGTAATTCTGATGTGTCTAGTGATTTCAGGGGTTGTCCTGGTATGGTGGTTCTTACTGGATTCAAATTGACAGTTTGTGTGATGATCAAACATGTTGACACAAGGGTCCTGTTTCATAAAACGTGTTATCAATAGCAAAATACAAGTATCGTTATAAGCTACTCAACTCCTTCTATTTGACTGGCTAAAAGCACATTTGCCATAGATATGTGGCATTTGTTATTGATAACAAGTTTTTATGAAATATGGTCCAGATAAATTCACTTTAATATATCCATCTCTCTCAAACCAAATACATTGATTAGATATCTAGCATATAAAACATCATGGAATTCTTTATGTTTGATGTTTTTCTGTATCATATTATGCTAGTGAAAGACCACATTATTGGAGAATGAATGTAGCCATTGTTATTTATCAAAGAAAACTATTTCCAGTTTTGAAATAAAGATGTCAAGATAACTCAATGACATATTTGTATGTGTAGATGATCATATAAAAAGCAAGGAAAGATATGTACTTGATATGTACCTCATTATATATATATATATATATATATACACAAGCCAAAGCATTTACTCAAAGGTAATGAAAAAACAAATCAACATTCAGCACTTTAATGTACTCATCAAAGTTAAGGTATTTGTAACATAACATGCTGTGGAAAGTAAATCCAATATGCCAGAAGAAATCCATGTAAATAATTGTTTGCAAATGATAACAAGTGTAATGTAAGAATTGCAAGTAGTATGATCATTTTATGTATTGATATATATATATATATATTTATCTTGATTAGTAGATGTACATGATGCTTAATGATTTTTGTGAAATTCCCCCGTTTGGGATTGTAATTAACATTATCTATCTTCCTACCAATAGTACTCATCATCTATTAACGTTCATTATGAGGTACTGACAGATACATTTCCATACTGTGATACACAAACACACACATGTATTAGGCATAGCGCTTGAAGAGCATTGCTGTTTGCTATAAAAGAGTGTATCCGGCCACATGTTGTTGTTAGAATTATAAAAATGTGTCAGATTGTCACAGTTTTTCAGACCTTGTATTTTGCAAAGCCATAAGATATCCTCCTCATCTATTTATTCCATATTGTCATGTATGATATATAGTGTTGTATATAAGATTGCTTCCCTTGATTATTATGACTTTACATGTATGACCGTCATGTGTGCTAGTCCTGTACAGATATAGTGATAAGTATGTTGTATGATCAACGAACATCTCATTGTATATTATGATCTTTGAATCAGACGAGTTGCAAGCATTGTAAAATCAAAGGCCCTGTTTCATTGAACTGTCATCAATAACAAGAAAGCTACTGAAATTCTGACATTTGATCGGTTGTTTTAAAGCAAACTTGCTGTTGAATTGTGGCAGTCGTTGTGTTCTAGTAATAGTTTATGCAACAGGGCCCACATGTGTACATTTGGATATTTATATATATTTAAACAATGTATGCTCGAGTCTAATTGTCGTTTTAATGATTGAAATGTAAAAGGAGAATGTTATGAATCAACGCAATAATTTAAAGCCAGAGAAAATGGCTGTTTTGTAATTGTCGTAGTTTGATCAGAGACAGGAACGTTAATTGATTGAGATTTAATGAATCGAAATACAGATGAAAATCATGTTTTTAGCGGTAGACGTAGTTCACTTTGTGTCATAATTGTTCTACTAACATCCCACCCCCAAATTATATGCACTAATGACATTGCTTTTTCGAGTATATATTAAAGTTAGATATGTGAGGTATTATCCTAAAATATTCATTTCTTGTAATTTGTGGGGTTTTCTTAATACAATTTATGTGGCCATTAAAGGTACTATGTCCCTTTTGCAGCCAACCTCAAATTCTGTAGAACTTTGCAGGAATTATGAATATGTCATGTATGTCCTATCTGTGAAATTTAAACGTTAGCAGTGTCCTCATATTCAAATTATGCAAGGAAACCCGTTTACTTGCTAGACTTCACTGTCAGACACTATTGAGTGACTGATTGGCTTTTTTCTTCTTTGGTAATAACATACATGAAAAGAGTTGTAAAGGGTACATGAGCATTTGTCTACATCAATAACCCACTTCTTATGATGGCCAAGATTAAACTGATTGAATCTTTGCGCAGCATAAAACGTATGACCATTCGATACAATTGTCTGAAAATCAAGACTATTACTTTTGGGCTCTATAGCCCTAAAGTCGATTTGACAACTAATAGTCATTATTTTCCCACTTGAAGACATTTTCAAGCCCCACCTTTTTTAGGGAAGTTCTAAATAATTATTATCTTTCAAATGCAGTTGGAATTTATCTTTTTCATTTTTTTGGCCTGCAAATGGGACATAGTACCTTTAATGAAACCTTAAATTTGTAAACTTAAGAAGAATCTGATTTTTGAAGAAGAAAAAATCATCCAGCCAGAGACGTTGCAAAAAGTTGATTATTTAACAGGTTTTCTTTCAGGGTAAAAATTTATTATTGATAATTTGTTGAGATCGAAAAGTAGTTTACAAGATCATAACATCCACGTAATGTGCAATAGACAGTGATCAAATCACATTGTAACTTCAGTCAAAGTTTTTTAACTTATGGCTTGCCATTAGATTTGTTACATATTACTTCTGGAGACATGGTAGATTTAAACAAAACATTCTTTACTTTTATATCAAATTCCTTTGTTCAGTAGGTCTAACTTTTGTTGTTGTTTTTTGTCATCAGTTTTTGCTAACCATGGGGCATCTTTTTTATTACACCAAACCCACGATATCCAATTAAAATCATTCCTTTTTCTCTAATCCTCTGTAAAAACTACATTGTAGATTTCTCTGGGGTTTAATTCACTACTAAGATTTAAAATCCACCCAGGCAATCCAGTAGTGTTTTTTTTGTTTTTCCTTAATTGTAATTGTAGTGACAACATTATTCATGCACTGTATGCCTAGTTAATGTGCTCTTTGTCTACGATGTACAATGTATTTGTCATTCAGTTGGTGGCATTGGTATTTGAAAAGGTTATGTATAGCCCAAGGCTGAATATATACAATTCTTACCCACTCTTTTTTACCATTTTGCTCAAAATTGATGGTAATTTCGCCAACAATGGTGACTACTATGGAAACCTTGATTTTGATTGGCTGTTGAGCCCTGTTACCATGGTAGTTGCCTTTGATGGCGATTTTGTGCAACGGGCCCAGGTAAATAGCTAAATCATTCATTCATCTGGTCCCGTCCCAGCATGGGGTTGGCGACTATGCACATTAAGTGTCTTTGACCACGAGAGCTTGCTCTGACCTCTTCATTACAACGTCCAGTCAAACCCAAGTGATTTAGATATCGTCTCTATGAAAATGAGATATTGTTCAAGGAGAGAGAGAGAGAATGAAATATCAGGAGAAAGTCAATAAGCTAGCAACTCATATTCGTCCAATCGACTATTAAAATGTTTAAGAGTTCGTCTGAAAGTAGAAGAGTTGTCTTGTGTCGGTAGTAAATACTTGTGTGTACAGTGTTTGTAAATATTACAGAAGGCTAAGTGTTTGTACATGTATAAAATATGCAACCTTACGTGTAGCAGTAACAAGAGAAATGGTGAATGAAAATAAATGTCCATTGACCACCAGCCGTATGCTCTATGTTTGTGTTCCTTGTCTCATTTTCAAATAGACTACCATGAAGAATTAAAGGTGGCTAGCTAGCTAGTCACTGAAATTACTTTTGCTTGGTATGCTGTAGATTCAATACTTATATATTACATTATAAATACATGTATCAGCATCAAAAATTAATTCTACTGGGAGAGCTGGTCCTCTTTCAAATTAACATGAACATGGACTTGATAAATTAATATATATTGTAACCACTGAATATCATTTATGGATCCACATTGTATATTACATATAACTACATTATGTACTGTAAGCATCTAACAAGCTTTTGGTATTTTGAGATTGCCTGTTTCTGATAGGTTTTCTTGGTTGTCTGTTATGTATCGCTCAAACTAAGCCCTCCATCTCGTCCCCCCCCCCCCACCCCACTTCCTCTAATAAAATACTATAGACTTGTTTACTAACTAATATCAATGTATGCATGTTTCTCTCCCAAACCCTTGACTACGACTCTGATTCAACTGCTAAGCAAAATAGCATCTCTATGGATGGAATTTCCCTTTGAATACATTAGTTGCTGCTATGTCAGGCAAGCCTTTAACAAGCATTTCAGTTGTCAAGAGAAAATTTTGTTATAAAACAGCGCTCATTAAAACAGTAAATAAGTATATTAAAAGTGCCAGTGTTCAAGGATCAAGTTGTACCACATAAGAATAACAAAAACACAAAAGCTCTTGAGGAAAGAAATTACCAAAATGACAAGAACCATCAACTGTACAAATCATTTTATTACAAATCAGAATTTTGCAATAACGGGAGCAACAACGCAACCTGAAAACGGTCTGTTTATACCGACTTCTACAAAAAACAAAAACAAATTTATTCATAATTTATTGTGTGTATGAACCTCGTCATTTACTACAGGAAAGGAAAATTTGGGGTAAACTTTTGATCGTATGATGAAGAAGTAATACACCCTCCCATCTAGTGTGAAATTAGGCCTCAAGATTTTGTACATACTCTCACGCTTACTTTAAGTATGCCGTTAGAAAAAAAAATATATTGACGACTTCTAAAGTCTTGTTCAGATATGGCACGCTAAACCCTGGCGTTTTCTTTTAATAATAATAATCTGGATTTATATAGCACTTAATACAGAATACCGTCTCTATCAAAGCGCTTTACAGATATTATTACCCGGGATTCATTCACACACAATGTGCACCATCTTCACTCCCTGGGGAGTATTCCTACCATATGGTCACCATAAGGGCATAGGCAATTACTAACACATAACTTTTTATGACAACATAAGTGTAATACGCGGAATACAAGTAGGACCTTTCTTGCAGGCAGTTATCATTTACAAGTTATAAACAAAACGCCATGCTTCATATCTGAACGGGCCTTAACAGTTCACACTTTTGAAAAAGGTGGTCTTTAACATTAGGAACCCCCTGCATTCATTCATGTGCATATATGAATGCTGTATAAATAATGTATGATGGAATGGAAGATGAATATCAGACTTATAATACTTGCCAAGCAGCACTACATGAAATGGCTGCTTTACTGGCTCAAATTCATGACTTATTCAGACACACAGGTACAAGATATTCCATCTCTGCTAGAATTTTTTTCAAATTGGTTAAGGTCTCCTTTGAAGAAGAAAAAAATCTGATAATAATGTTAACTATTACTAAAATACTTCTTTTGGCACACCATTCGATATGTTCAGGTAGTGGTGATATAAGTCTAGATTTATATTCAAAACATAAATGCAGTATGGTATCATGGACATGAAATAGAACGGATGGTTATACTACCAGACATAACATACAGATGTATGTCAAAATGAGGAGGATAAATATCAACTAGGTATGTTCTTGACCTTGACCAAATGCTATGATGAAAACTATTTGATTCTTGTTGTATTTAAAGACCAAATCAAGACATTTAGGGAACTGTAGGATTCATACACCTTCCAGTGTGAGATATTTTCTTCTTTTCAGTCAAAAGAATTCAAACTAAATTAAAAACAGTAGGTGAAGGATCACACCTTCAAGGCTGTATTTTACAATATGACAACTTACTGAGAAGAAAGGATACAGTCAAACCTAAATTAGTGACCACCTGTCTACAAAGACCACAATATTTGTTTCCTTGAAAATGGTTTCTCATTGAAACATGTACTAAAGAAACCTGTCTAGAAAGACCACTTTTTATGTTTCCCTTTGACTGTATATTGAATTACATGGACACCAATTATTGAAATTTCACTTATGGGAGAGATACAAGTGAACCCATATTACATGGACATTCTTGGAACATAAATGCCCTATTAAACATGGGAACCTTTACATGATTTGTTTAGGCAGTTTATGGCATCTGGTGTGAAGGAGGCTTTAAAGAGAAGGTTGAGTTCTGGGAAGAGGTAAAACATTATTTGTGAGTGTTATTATTGTTATTATGCAAGTGTGGAAGAACATCAGATAATAAATGTTCCCTGAAAAGCATGGCTCTTCAAATGCATTAATATTTAAATATGGCATGTAACAGCATAAAAATCGGGACAGATTTTTACGCCACATGTTCGTGTAGTCCCATATACATCTTTCTGTGTACAGTGCTTGTAACTTTACCAAGAATGGGCCAAATTTGTTATCCTTTTGATGATTCCAGAACCTTGCAGTACACACCAATACTTATATACTAGATGATCGACCTATTCTGATTGATTCCACACCGTTTCTTTCACAATGCAATAGCATGACCAGAACTCAACTTTATCTTTAATGTATCTATCATCATTTTCATTCATGTTGGAAAAAAGAGGCTGCTTCTGGTGATAAGACAGTCGTTTTAGAGCACCAGTCCGGAATTCAATTCAAAAGAACACTAACACATGTTGTCCTCAGATTGATTCCACTCTGGCAATAAACTAAAAATTAGTACCAAATTCTCACTTTCGTTTCCAGTTTCTTACCATTGCCAGAACTACAACACACGAGTCTGCAAAACAAGACTATTCAATGTTGAGTAACGTGTATCTTCTGCAGAGCCAGGTCAACTCAGTAAGTTGTTCCTCACAAAAGAAGCGAGACTCTTTGCTAGGATCGCAACATTAAATCACGGATATTGGACAATGGAAGGTCAAAGTTCAAAATTTACACAAGAAACTGTACAATAAAATGCCCTCCATCGTTAGCAGTCTGATCGCCAGATCTTGATCGTCTTGTCGTTCTCAAGCGCTGCCGATGCGATCAAGTTTTCTGTGGGATGACATGACGTGCAGAGGACAACATCTATGGAAATGATATAAAACACAAGCAAACAAAGAATTTAATAACAGTTTCCTTGATGCACGTATTCCAAATATTTAATTTCCATAAAGATGAATACAATTGATCTTTAACCTTATTTTCAAAAATTGCCCCCAAAATGCCTTTAATAATTGAAGTGTACGTAATCACCCAAAAAAAGATTATTTAACAGTTTCTAGTGCAAGGTTAATTTGTTCCGGTTTAAAAGGGTTGCCATGGAGCTAATCAAGACCGGAAATGGGTCATCTTGAAGCCTTTGGTAGATCTATCCCATGAAGAATACAATGTGGCTCAGAGAGAGTATATGTGTGGCATATAAAGAGTTAAACCTGGCTTAATGTAGGTCCATTTACAAGTACCCTAAACTTATCAATTTCCATCTAAGACAATAAGGGAGTTTACAGATACAATCTGCGCATGGGCAGATGAAGGTCATTTGTACCAAAAAGGTAAAACCCATATTCGCTCATGAAAGTTATGTAACATTATTCATTTATGCACCAACGGTACATTCTATGATACGCAGGTGGAAGTATTCTTTTCAAGAGGGCAAACAAAAAGGTATTCATGAAGCACATCTAGGACTTTGGCAATTATTATTCTAATATGCTCAAAGTGGAACTTCTCCATGTGTAAAAGATCTGTGGATATTTGGGGTCATTTGTACCATGTGCTATCTGTAAACTCCCTTATTGTCATTACTGCAGCACTACTTCTACTTCTACGACGATACTCAGCAGGATCCATAAGTCAGGATGTAGTGCTGAGGAATAAACTATCTAGTTCTTGGTCTAGATGCTTGGTGGAAGCGCTCCCTTTCCACCATCATACCTGTGTGTCCTTGTAGTTTCTGTACGATCTCCTTGGTTTGTAGATTCCATATATACACCATGTTATCTTCAGATCCCGATACAATCCACTATGATAAACAAGAGAGATGCACAACAAATGATGTATGACAAACAAATATCCTCTTTTTTCATGAATACTACACTCAATTAATTTTACATATTTCATTTTTCATAAATAATAAATGGCAATGTAAGAGGTAAATGAATGATCCATGTTTGATGTTTTCAATTAGTTACTTTATTTGATATTATATTCTTTTGAAATGTGTAAAATTTGCAATGTTTTGTTTGTTATATATTTGTAAAAATGCAAAAGAAAAAGAAAATCAAACAGAAATAAATAAATCAAATCAAATCAATATATATACAGATAGTGGATGAAATGATATGCACATCTAATGTAATATTACTTAAATGGTAACAAATATTAAAAAAACCGGAAAATATGAAGAAGACTACAACAAGGATCTCTTTGTGTTGGAAACTACTATTTTATTGCAGTTAATAACTACGAAAAAAGGATTATGAGCAGAGATGCTGTTATAAGAATTGAACTCACCTTTCCTCCTGTGACAGAGAAGTTTGCAAAGATGCAGTATTTCTCATTCTTGTGACCTGTGTATGTCTTGAGACACTTTCCTTTACTGTAGTCCCACAGCTTCAGTGTGCTGTAAGGAAACAAAATATGAAACCACACAATTCACAATGAGGCTAGAACAATCACACTGGACAGAACGTACAACAACACATCTGAACAAACAATTGTAACAGTACTAAGGCAGAGACGAGGATTCTCTGTCACATGCAAAGATAAAACCAAAGTTGTCACAATTTCAATTTAATATTTGGCGACTAACAATGCTTTGAAATATGTAAGCTTAAAGTATCTTCTCTCACTAATATGTTCCCTGCAGATTTTAGCAAGTAAATCTATTATCCATAACAAGTACTCTAAAATCTATTGAATAATTGTATTGGCCTGACCTTGAGGAAGATTGTGAACACAGCTTAAATGGAACAAAATTGTGAATTTTATAATTACGATTCATCCCATCTCTTTCATGGTGCAACATATACTCCAGCAACAATTGTTCTGCAGTCAATGTATAAATCTAGTCGAAATTATCGAGGGTAGACTTAAAATTATACCTTATCCAAAACTACATGTATTTGTGATCGTAAAGCAAATTGCAACCCTAACCCTTTATTTTTAATGATAGAAGCCTGGAGTGAATGGTAGATCTCTGTTTCATAAAACTTGTTCGTTCGTTCGTGTCTCCTTAGATCAAGATTACTGTAATCTTGATCTTCGGAGTAGTTGCTACAACCGGCCGTGTCAGACACGTTGCCCCGGGGTGCGAGATAGGACTCTTGTAGCGTGCCCCCATTTAAAACAATTATACAGTTACAGTTAACAATACATTCAATTAATAGTATGAAACTATTAAAATTACTCTCATGTTACAGGAAAAAATATTGCATATACATATATTATGAATCAATTGATTTGGTCGATCCAGTTCGATGGCACAAACACGGCACTACTGGACAGAGATCCTAATATTTACAGAGCTTGGTCTTGTTGCTCTGTTCGCCAGCAGTTTAAGGATATGGAATCCCGCGGCACATTACTCACAAGAGTTCTAACAAGCCAAGCTTATACAGAGCCTATAATAAGTAATGTCGTACATGTACCACCCACCCGATCGATCAAAAACTCATAACTCATAACTGAAGAAAAAAAAGTAAAAAAAAGTAAAAAGAAAAGAACAAACACGAAATGGTAACCATCTAAAATTTCATAGTTGTGATAAATATCTATAAAGATTTATCAAGCACCAAAAATAAATAATATCATGTTCAAGAAAAGGATATATACACTTTGTATTCTTCTTTCGTGTCCTCAAATGCTCTGCCAGGCCTTGGCACACTGGAGAGCCTTCTCATTTGCTGCCACCAGGTCTTCCAGGCAGCATTGGTCGATTAGGAGTGGACATCTTAATAGGTGTGACATGGATTGCACGGATGTTCCACACTCGCAGTTGGTGTCTGTGTCGTCAGTATATCCCCATTTATTCATGTTGTATTTACATCGCCCCACACCTGTGCGAAGCCTATTGAGGGACTTCCACGTCTTCCAATCACATCTATGGCCAGGGGGCAGCTGTTCCTTGGTCGGGATTGGTAGTTTTTCATGGTGGTGGTTTTCAGAACGTTTCTCTTCCCACAAGATCACTCTGGTTGAATGAGGAGGTTACAGTGACAGTGGCTGGACTGTATGAAGGAAGCTTTTCCTTGACTTCAGGCGGGTAGGGGCCGGTTGATGCGAGTAAAGGGGATGGCGGGTGTCCTCAACTTGTCTGCTGCGTTCAGTCCTACTTGCAACTGTTCTGCGGACATCGGATGGAGCAATGCCGGCCAGGGAGTGCAAGCTGTCCACATTCGTGGGCTTGAGGCAGCCAGTGATGCATCTGCAGCTGTCGTTGAGTGCTGCATCAACTTTCTTTGTATGGGATGATCTTCCCCATACAGGGCAGGCATATTCTGCTGCAGAGTAACACAACGCAAGAGCAGTTGACCTCAGCGTAGAGGAATTGGCACCCCAAGATGAGTTTGCCAGTTTCCGTAGTAGGTTGTTCCTTGTCCCAACTTTACCCTTCACTTTTTGAACATGCTGTTTGTATGAAAGGGTTCGGTCAAGAGTGATTCCAAGGTAGACAGGGTGATCGCAGTGTTTCAATGAGACATCGTTCCATAAAACTTGTAATCAATATCAATATCAATATCAATATCAATATCAAATGCTAAAATTCTATGAAAAAAATTTGCTTTCAGCCAATCAAATGCCACAACTTCAGTAGCTTATAACATTTATTGGAACTTGTTATTGATAATTTTTTTAAGAAACAGGCCCTGATGTGACATAATGAGAACACGTAGAGGAAGGAATGTAGTTAAGAGTCTTACTTGTCTAACGTTGCAGCCAAGATGTACTTTCCATTGGGTGAAAACTTCACATACGAGACTGGAGGATTGTCATCATCTACAAAGAGAAAATCATTGAAAATAAAAACTTTCAGAGCATTTACAACATTACTCAATATTCAAAGTCATCTTTTGAAGTTGAATTGTTCATAAATATATAAATATAACATAAAATTTGATGTGAAGTTAAAGCTCGATGGGGCTTTTTTTAATAAATATGTTGTTTTCTTCATAAAATCTAAAAAACTTGTGTATGCAAAACACAGGGAGCGGGAGCAGGAGGGGCACTTGCTGCAACCACATTCTCACATTCTTTTTGTTTTCTTAGACTTATTGCCAATATCACTTTCACCGGATTTTTTGTTTAATTCAGGGTTTAAAGATTACTTGTAAGAAAGTGTAATACCGTGCAGGAAAATGGTGAGGGGGAGGGAGACTTGGTACAACCTGCTTCTTAATTTTTGTTTTCTTAATAATTTTGCTGCCAATATCACTTTCATATCATTTCTCGCATTTTTGAAACTGTGCGTTCAAGATAGCTTGTAAGAATATGTACCACTATTTTTGTAAATATATCTGTTTGGTTCACCTTTAGTTCAATAGGTACACTACATCACACTTTATATTTCTAGAGCATAATCAGAAGCCATCATGTATCATGTATACAGCCTAGTTTCCTAACCCTTCCACCTGTAGGCAAAACACCTACAACTGGTAAAAGCCAGAAATACATTAGCTGAGTTCAAATGACACGCATGAGGGGTAACCCGACACATGCTCCGCCGACGATTGCTCCGCCGACATTTACTCCGCAAAACGCGACAATTGCTCCGCGACATTTGCTCCGCGACATTTGCTCCGACGTCAAATGCTCCGCCGACAGTTGCTCCGCCGACAGTTGCTCCGCCGACAGTTGCTCCGCCGACAATTGCTCCGCCGACAGATGCTCCGCCGACAATTGCTCCGCCGACAATTGCTCCGCCGACAATTGCTCCGCCGTCAATTGCTCCGCAAAACGCGACAATTGCTCCGCCGACATTTGCTCCGCCGACATTTGCTCCGCCTGAAGCGACACTTGCTCCGCCGACATTTGCTCCGCCGACATTTGCTCCGCCGACAATTGCTCCGCCGACAATTGCTCCGCCTGAAGCGACAATTGCTCCGCCGACATTTGCTCCGCCTGAAGCGACAATTGCTCCGCCGACATTTGCTCCGCCGACAATTGCTCCGCCGACAATTGCTCCGCCTGAAGCGACAATTTCTCCGCCGACATTTGCTCCGCTGACATTTGCTCCACCGACATTTGCTCCGCCGACAATTGCTCCGCCGACAATTGCTCCGCCTGAAGCGACAATTGCTCCGCCGACATTTGCTCCGACGACATTTGCTCCGCCCAAAAAAGTGTCCCATAAACTACAAATGCTACTAGTACTACGACAAATGCTTCGCCGACAATATTTTCTTTACACCTATTTTTTTCGTTTCTTTTTTTCTTCTTCATTTTCTGAATGCATTTCTTGAAATAATGTAGATGAAATGAAATGAATGAATGTTGATGAAGTGGGAGGAAAAAGGAGTTACCTAAAAGTCATTTCGAATATACTGAAATAACTTTCCATCTATCACTGTACGTCCCATATAATGTATACTAAACACTCATTACATGTCGTGGGAAGTTTTTAAAAAAAAAGTAGAGCAGCAAGCCACATTCCCCAATACGCGCATACCTCCTAGTTAATTTCAAGTAGCTCATCAATATGTAATACCTGAAATTACCTCGATCAATGCATCTTACTAGGTAAAGCATTATACAATGTAATAGGTCATCATGGAAGTTTAGAAAATAAGTAAGGGGGATTTACCAAGTGTTGATCTTTTTAAGAGTTTTATAAAGAAACAAAAAGATATTGAATATTTCTCAGCGAAAAAAAGGAACAAGCTTGTTTCGCATTTTAAGAAATGGCGATTTGACTTATGATACTCATGTTGATTTAACTTTTATTCCTGTGCCCCCTCACTCCCCTTTATGCACTGGAGTTCAAACTATGATTTATATGTGTACAGTGTATTTTTTTTTTACTATAATGTTTTTTTTAATAACTTTCTTGTCCTTTCATTATTGTTAGTTGTTCTTATACATATTGGTTTTTTTGTTTGTCTAATTATTACCAATGACTTGTAAATATGTAATTTTAATATGATTGAAAATTTAATAAACACACAAATATTAAAAAAAAGTTTAGAAAATAAGGGCACTTATATACGTAAGGAAGAGAACCCATTCAGACGGGAAAATGAGATGGCAGCCTTTCTGCTTATTCACATTTATACAAATCATTTTGTTGCAGTTTGATGTTAGTTCTTCATGATAAGCCAATTGCTCTTCTTCCGGTGGCTTCGTGAGTCCCTTAAATTATTTAGTGAAAACAAAGTACTCGAATGAAACGGAGTGTTTTGCACACTAACATATATATATTAAAGCTACATACACTTAACTAAAGGAAAGAAACCTTTAGAAAATGTACTGGATATTATTGAAATATTATTCTAAACAAGAATGTACTACATGATTGTATTACTTTACGTTTCAATTTCACGAGAGAAATAGAACTCGAGAGGGGGAGCAGAGAAGAAGTGATGGAAATTAAAGAAGACTAATAGCATGAGAGGAAAGAAAAGAGCAAAGAAGACAAGAAAACGGTGTAAACAGGAAAAGGAGGAGCATGGGAGCTGAGGGAGAAAGAGAGAGAGAGAGAGAGATAGCCTTGAGCTTTGGATCAGCTAATGAGTAATACATGAAACAGATTTTGAGCGGAGTAATTATCTTTCGCCGGAGAACTTGCGTAAGGAGCTATAATTTTATTTTTTATTTTTTTAAATCAAACATTATGGGGAATAGCAAAAAACGGTTGTCTTTTTTGCTCTTTTCTTTCCTCTCATGTTATTAGTCTTCTTTCATTGAGGTAATTTCAGGTCTTACATATTGATGAGCTCTTTGAAATTAACTAGGAGGTATGCGCGTATTGGGGAATGTGGCTTGCTGCTCTACTTTAAAAAAAAAAACTTCCCATGACATGTAATGAGTGTTTAGTGTACATTATGTGGGACGTACAGTGATAGATGGAAAGTTATTTCAGTAAATTCGACATGACTTTTAGGCAACTGCTTTTTCCTCCCACATTATCAACATTCATTCATTTCATTTCATTTACATAATGTCATGAAATGCATTCAAAAAATGAAGAAAAAAAGAAAGAAACAAAAACAACCCGTGAAAAAAAAATATTGTCGGCGAAGCATTTGTCGTAGTACTAGTAGCATTTGTATTTAATGGGACACTTTTTGGGCGGAGCAAATGTCGTCGGAGCAATTGTCGGCGGAGCAAATGTCACCGGAGCAATTGTCGCTTCAGGCGGAGCAATTGTCGGCGGAGCAATTGTCGACGGAGCAATTGTCGGCGGAGCAATTGTCGGCGGAGCAAATGTCGTCGGAGCAATTGTCGGCGGAGCATATGTCACCGGAGCAATTGTCGCTTCAGGCGGAGCAATTGTCGGCGGAGCAATTGACGGCGGAGCAAATGTCGGCGGAGCAAATGTCGGCGGAGCAAATGTCGGCGGAGCAAGTGTCGCTTCAGGCGGAGCAAATGTCGGCGGAGCAAATGTCGGCGGAGCAATTGTCGCGTTTTGCGGAGCAATTGACGGCGGAGCAATTGTCGGCGGAGCAATTGTCGGAGGAGCAATTGTCGGCGGAGCATCTGTCGGCGGAGCAATTGTCGGCGGAGCAACTGTCGGCGGAGCAACTGTCGGCGGAGCACCTGTCGGCGGAGCATTTGACGTCGGAGCAAATGTCGCGGAGCAAATGTCGCGGAGCAATTGTCGCGTTTTGCGGAGTAAATGTCGGCGGAGCAATCGTCGGCGGAGCATGTGTCATGGAACCGCATGAGGGTTATCATCATTTTATCCCAAGATTTCACACACCACACATGGTCCCTAGCATTTTACAAACAATATATAAATCATACTCTTTGTATTCTCTTGTACCAGATGAAACTCCTTCCAGGGGAGCGTTTCACAAAGACTAGGATTGACTTTAAATTGGACCCAACTATGGTAGGCTGTCATGCCACTGTTTGCTCTCACCATTATGATCTTCAGATGATATTTTTCTTTCAATATTGAATGATCAAATAATGTAAATTCTGTAGATTTGTGACCATGATTTGTACGTCCCTTGAGAGACCAATGCCAGTAAATGGTGAGAGCAAACAGTGGCATGAACAGATTGCTATAGTTAAGTCCAATTTAAAGTCGATTTTAGTCTTTGTGAAACACCCCCCAGGTCTTCTTCATGAAAATTTAAACTATTTCTAGTTAACAGCGGTCTACAGTCAGGAGATGAAAATAGTGTATTCCTAGTCAGCTTCAACTTTCAAGCAATCCAGCCATACAGTTGTTTTTTAATGAGTCTTGAAGATATTAACCACACAATTTAGATTTGCACAGTATGCAATTAACACAAGTAAAAGTGAAGATGAATCAGTAACTTACCTATCAGAGTTTTCAAGCACTGCCCAGACGCTGTATCCCAAATTCGACTGGTGGGATCAAAAAGAGAGAGAATCTTATAATTTCTAACTCACTTTAGATTCATTATTCATATCGGCTCAAAGAATAAAAAGAGAAATTGAAACAAAGAGTGTGTCACAAAAAGTACACTGTGATGGTAGTTGAAAGCAGCCAAGCAATAATTAGACAAACATGTCTGAGTATTTTATAAGTGTAATGCTTCCTGGGAGAAATTTCAATTATTTAAACATATTTGTGGCTTACACCATTTGTGGTTATTGTCCTATGGCGGACTAAAGAATATTAATAAGTCAGGGTAAATCAGGAGAGCTTGGGTATTTGTTTTTAGTTCATCGTGACTATGCCATGGACCAGTGATGGCCTGGTGGTAGAGTCGCTGCCCGGCAAGCAGTAGATGCAGGTTCAAGTCCCGCTAGTTCCAAGATTTTTTTCTGACTTGTTTTTCAATACAGATCGATCAATCAATCTTGTTTACTGGGTGTAAGCCACAAATATGTTTAAATAAATGTCTGAGCATTTACATTCGAGCAGTAAAACAATTTTTTTACATCATTCATTGACAAGACATTTAAACCATCAAATATATGGAAGTCCGGAGGTTTTCTAAAAAGGCCCTATAATCTGAATAAATAATAAGTGAACAATGCAATGCAGAATACAAGGGGGATAACATTGAAACATGTTTTTGAACTGCTTACTAGAAATAGAATTTAGTGAAAAAGAAACTTACCAAAGACCATCATAACTACTGGATACAATGAGAGAACCATCCCTGTTGAAATCAACCTGAAACAGAAATGATGTAATACTTATAAACCCATGCATGCATATTCAAGAGATGTTTATATTAATTTCCATTCTTATTAATCATTTAGTCAAAATTTCACAAAGGTATGATGATTTTATACATCGTGTGCTACAAGTAGTGCATAACAATTACCGGTAATTCAATCTCAACATGAAAGTGTGAAACCGTCATTTTAGTTGGTTTCAATTTGAATTTGGGATTCCAAACTCAAAAATCTAAATATCAAGATACATGTATCCCATCCTCTTTTATTTATAACTGAGAGAGCTGCTAACCTAATTTTGTTTCAATAATTTTAAAATTCTCACGGATATACCGAGTGAAGAACACATTCCCAGAATAAATACTATAGTAAATACTCCATTCAAATTTATGGACGTTTCTTCCCTGTGGACCTAGTGACAAGTTGTTCATTAACCTGTTATCAATGAATGAACTACAATACTTTGGAATCCAGTCCGCATACATTATTTGATGCAATGCGAGGCAAGTCTCAGGGCAAGCTTTCAGGTTTTTAAGAACAACCTTTCTTTAAAATGTATGCATAAAATTTAAATATGTTAGTACACCGGTCTATGCATGTGGCAAATGATTGGTTGAAAGCGTACACGTGACCAGGCATTTATTTTGCCTAACGCGTAATCACCCGTAATTTGGGTAATGACCGGTCATTATCAAAATCATGTTAGAAAACATCATGTTAGAAAACATCATTTTATAAAACAAATAAAATATAATCTTATAAAACAAATAATACACATCATTTTGTTTGGGCATTAGTAAAATTACCCACGCTTGGTACCTTCAAAACAGTCCAAACGCCCTCGGCTATTGTCTCAGGCATGTTAGACAGTTCCAAAGGTACCTCGTGCAGGTAATTCTTTCTTATGCCCAAACAAAATGATGAGTATTATTTGTATATTAACTTACAGCTGATACCGGATCTGAGTGAGCCGGTAACGTCTTGAGGCACTTTCCTGTCTTCACATCCCAGATCTTCACACTCTCATCAAACTGTAACAGTAAATACATAGATAAGGATCAGTCTACAAAGAATGGACGCTACATGACGATGACTTTACACCTAAGTTTATCTCTTAGATCACTCAAACATCTTTCATATTTTTACCTTCTCACAGAATGCAGTCCACCAAGCTTTCAGTTTTTCACAATTAGGTAAGTAGTCAGATTAGTCTTGTAGGTATGTTAAAGATGATAGAAAATATATAAGTATTAAGCTAGGTGTGCTTCAGTCATGAAATCTTCACAAACTAAAAAACATAAAGAGAAAACTAATTAGTGAATGATGGAGGGGCATAGTGATAGAAACACTGTCAAAACTGGAGAAAAATCAGGGAGAAATTATTACCGGTACATATGTCAGCAAATTGTTATCTTAAATTTGCAAGAGACTGTAACGTGAAATACTAACATTTAATACACTTTCTTCGTGTAAAAGTTTTTTCCAGGGGTAACATGCTCTTGTGCAGATCTCAATCTTCAGTTAATTCATACATCCTTTGAAGGCTTTGCTACGAAATACTACGCAAATAGTGTTCCTTTCACTTACCGATCCAGACACGATGAGATTTGATTGTGGGTTAAAGTTGCAGCAGAAAACGTAGTTACTGTGACTCTTCAATGTTTTCAAACATTTACCCTAAGAGAAAAGGAGATAAACAATTCAGTTTCATAATGTGGCAGAGATTTGGGCCTATATGTACCGGTGTGTTGGCTCAGTCAGTAGAGCGTCCGCCTTACAACCGGGAGGTCGTGGGTTCGAACCCTGGCCGCGTCATACCAAAAGATGTTAAAAGACGGGAGTTGCTGCTACCTTGTTTGGCGTTCAACAATAAGGGATAGAGCAACGTTGATCTGGCGCTGCTCAGTGGCTGCCAGGCTCACGATAAATGGGCAAAAAGAATTTCCATTTTCAGTTTAACTTAATAAAATTTGGAGTGGTCTTTAAAGAGATTATTACTATCATATTCATAAAACTCTACTGAGTCTAGTTGTCAATTAACTATGTACGATGTCCTATATTTGAGATGCTTAATAAGCTCTTATGAATATGGGCCAAGAAATCCACTTTTAATTCCTGTAACTTTTCAAGAACTAAGTAACAACATGTATGAATACTAAAAACAACAAAATTATAGCGAAAAAGTGTTATTTTTTTTACAAATTAGATAAGTCAAAATCACAGCTTCCCAACACCACATACTCATGTTTAAGGCAAGACAACAATATATATATATTCAAGACTATTTCATCATTATAACAATGTACTGTTTAACTTTAAAAACTACATGTTTAAAAACAATCTGTCCATGATTTTCTCTTTATTTTTGCACATATTTTCTAAAAAGATTTTCAGGTCGGTCGCAAAGGGCAATACAACAACTTTTTTTGTAAAGCAGTATTATTAATCAGACTGAAAAAAATGTTTCAAAACATAGTTAAGGCACAAACTGCGATTGTAAGAGTGATACATACTGTGTTAAAGTCCCATATTTTGAGAGTCTTATCATCCGATGCAGAAACAAGAAGTCTTGAATCACTGGACCAACCAACATCTGATATACCCTGTCAAAATATAAACAGTCAAAGATTATATCAAACATGCTGCTTGTAAGTATCGGCTTGCATGGTGATGTACTTCTTCTACTTCTACGACGATACTCAGCAGGATCCATAAGTCAGGATGTAGTGCTGAGGATATACAGTAGGCTTGCGGATGCACCATGTGAGAGAGAGGGAGGATTGAGGAGTCCTGAAACACTCCCGACGACGGATAGTCAACCTGTTCGAAACGTTGAGCCACTCCCGCCACCCATCCTCTCCAAGCGCTATAGTTCTCCTTAGAACTATAAGCTAAGAAAGATAACCAACAGTCTTTTTTAGGACTACACACCCTCAAGAAAGATTACCGAGAGTCCTTTTCAGGACTCCTCAATCCTCCCTCTCTCTCACATGGTGCATCCGCAAGCCTACTGTATATATATCAAACATAGCTTGAAGTGGACAATAAACCAGTTTGTAGATAAAGGTGAGTTCTGGTAATACAATTGCATTGTGAGAGAAAAGGTGTGGAATGGATCAGAAAAAATATAAATGTAAGTATTGGTGTGTACTACAAGGTTCTGGAGTCATCAAAATCATAATAAATTTGGACAAGTCTTGGTAAAGTAACAAGCACTGAAAGATGTATATGGAACTACACAATTGGTGTCGGGGGCTACTATACCTTGATTTCCTTATCTCTCTATGCTCGTTACTCAGCCATTATACATTTTCTTCCATAATTGTTTGGCACATGACATTTACTTCCAATCTTGAACATTCAGTGTAAGTTTCATTTGATTCTGTGAAAATTCATTTTTTTTTTTTACCAGAACTCAAGTTTATCTTTAAACATGAAGAAGTCCCACTTTGTGCATGGAGGTGCATCAAGAATACATCTTGTCTGCTGCCCTCTAGAAGAAAAGAATACCTCCACCTGACCACCTGATCTGTGTACCATACAAGTTAGCATCAGCATATTAATGAATAATGATTGCATAAACTTTCATGAGCACGTATCTAGTCTCAGTGGGTTTTACAATTTCGTATGAATGACCTTTATCTGCCAACGTACATGTAGAGATAGTATCAACAATCTGGCTCAAGTCTTTACCTTTTTTATATGCAGGTTAGCTTATCTAAGCATGACACAAAAGAAAAGTTTATGCATACAATTGTTACAAAAACATACTGGCACATATCATTTCAATTTTCAAAGACATCATATTCATTTTTTTCATTATTTGGTAGACAGGATTGTAAATGCATTTATAATCCCATTAAAGTTAATAAAAAATGTGAGATTACCTAAATGATGAGGATAATAATTTTAGTATCAATATATAAAAATCTGGTGTAAACTATATTACCTACAAACATAGAATAATGGGAGTTTTATGCAGAAAATTTGGCCTATCATTCACTGTGCATTGTGTAGAAATTCAGACTTGATAAAGACTTACCAATTTGTGCCCTGATATTGTCTTCTCAAACTTGCCATCATATGCTCCCCATATCTTGATAAGTTTGTCAGCGGCTGGTGTGAAAAATACGGAATAGATTGAAGATGAACACACACAAAAATGAGCAATGACATCACATTTCCAAACAGAAATTAAAATCTGTGCAAAACACTACAAGTTATCTATTGGAATGTGAAATAAGTAGTCCTACAAGTCTTATCCAATTTTACAATCAGGTAAGACAAGCAAGTATGACAAATTTCATCGCATGTTCTCATGCTACAAACAAGTTTACATCAATATACTCTCTACTGCAGGAGAGCCGAAAGGGTGTTTTAATAATATATTCTCACACAGTGTTAACAACTTTCTGGCTCTCTGCACACAATACCATGTTTTGTATATGTCTATATATCATGCAACACCAAGGGTAGACACATTTCTGGATCATTCATTTACATCAAAACTTGAAACTTATAAAAAAGTCTGATTAGTTTGAAAAAAATTCACGTTAATAATACCCAAACAAACGTAAGAATTTTGTAAACAATCTGTGCACACTTTGTTTGTAAATACTCACAGGAGCTTGCAAGCCATTCTCCATTGGGGCTGAATTTAACTGCTGACACCGCCTTGGTATGTCCAGCTAATGTGAATTTGAGGGAGTAGTTTGGTCTCTGAAATGAAAAATAAAAAACATGGCTAGCATAATTGAAAGTACAGCAGCACAATGACATACCGGTAATAATAACATTGACAACATACACGTAGTTCAGGTTGTATATTTCATTGAATATTAAAAGTGACCTTAAAAGTTTGATGTTCTTCTTCTTCAAGATAATCTGCCTCCTTCAATACTGAAGATTCTTGCAGATGCCGTATACTCGGCCTGATTGGGGTGTGCAGGTGGACCATTACACCGGGGTTTCCCCCTACTCTCATAAGAATAGTGCAATGGGTTCTTAACGTGCAAGGGTGGTGACTCTCCTGTACACGGGGCCTCCATTTAACGTCCTATCCGAAGGACGGAGTGTTTTCCACTTGACATAACCTGCGTCTAAGAACAAAGGAAGGGGCACGTTAACACACAACGCAGAAGGGTATCATACATGTTCTATGGATGCCTCTTGATACTCCAGTATTTAGGGTTATTTAGGGGTTGGGGGTTCAATTCTTAACATCATCAGGAGTGACTGTTTTTTTGTTTTTCATGATTACACAAGTTTATGATGTCAAACTCATGAGTAAAACTAAGAATGTTATGAACTCTCACCTTTGGAAGATTACAAGCAGCAGCTGCCGATGAAGCTGATGTGATTGTTGGTGTTGTCTGAGGTTTAACTGTTGCTGCTTTAGCATCCCCTCCTGCACAAGGTTTGATATCTTCCGTACACGACATGGCTTTTAATGTCTTTTCAATAATTCCAAGCGATTCACTTTTCTTCCTGAAGGAAGATTATCTTGTCCTTGTTGCCTTTGATGAAACCGATCTCTACCTCCTTACATCCACGTCAATGTATGCTGGACTACTTGAAGGGAGTGCCATGGACTGTGCATAGTCATAGAAAAATAAATAAACATAAAAATATGGCATATGAGCTGATTTGTATGACATACAGGCCTCATGATTTTAAAGGGATTGGGTATCTTTGTCTCAGATTCTAAACAAAATCCTGGATTTAGCTCATGCTGCAATCATAATTATAAATGTTTAGGTCAGTCAGGAATCCCATGACGTTTACAAGCGGATCGCCCATCTGATTATTAAGATATTTATGATTAGAATTCGAAATTTCAAAAACGTTTTCCCAACGGTTTTATAACATTACAGTCTACCGGTATTGGAGAAAATGTGTATGGTAAAACAGGTCACTCAAAGATTTTTACTTTTTGAGGCACTTCATGATTATTTTGAAGCGCAATTTTTTTAGGGCTTCAATATATTAGACCATATCGCAGACACTGATAACACATAGGGCCATGCATCTCAGATTTGGCATTGTTAAACAATGCCTTTAATTCCAAGTAGACCTAATGAATTTTAACATCGACTGATATCCTATCGAACAACTGTTCGGTAAACAAAATCACAATCGATCTTAAATGTCACATATTTATGAGAAAAGCTGTTTATCACTTCCCTATCAATAGCCCTTAATTTCAGATCAAAAGACAAGACATTTGTTCATCTGTCATGTCTGTTCCTACAACACATTCAGTGCCATGCGCCACACCGCACCGCCTCCTTATTTAAAAAACTACAAAAACACCAGATTAGATCTACAATCACACACTGACACAGTTCATACAGTTCTTCCACAAGCGAAAACTACTCTTCAAATCAACTTTCAAGTCTGATCAGTAGACAGTGGATGAAATGTTTTTGGTCACCATGTGTCAACTACATAGTACATTGTCTACCCTACAGTTGGAATTTATTTTAGCCTGGCTTAGAACAAGTAGACTCTAACTGTTAAGCCTAGTAGATGTTAGATCAAGATAAATTAATTTTTATCATTAATTTTCATTAACGTTTTTGTTGTTGTAAGAACAAAAATTCTCTTCTCCACTTGCTTGTCAGAATTCTCTTACCTCAAAGCCAACGGCTCATGCATTGAATTTATTACACGCCTGGTTCAGGGGCAGAGCAGTTGTCTTATTATCTCACAATGCTGGTTTGAGTTTCCCTAACACAGTAACAGTAACATGCAATGTGTGTGGACAGACGCTTTTCGGTCACCGGTCCAGCTCGATCTCTACCGCCGTACCGGGAGCGTTCCGGGTGAATGTTTGATCTCAAGCTGGCCTTTCACTCTCCACGGTTCTATACAGCACACGAGCTTACAATAGGATAATCACTAGCTCCTCGTAGCCCGCGCTAGCTGCACTGGTGTGTGTACTTGTTGCGTGTTCATTGTCTACATGCAGCACGATGCATACAATACATGTGATATTTGTGTGTGTCGATTGTGCATGCATATCGCATGCATCCGATAAATCTAAGTTTCGCAACACTTCGTCCCGTAAAATAATCGCCTATTACATTATTACCGTCCTCTCTGCATGGTCAGATGAGGAGAGGGCAAATAATTTTGTGTTGGCCTATTCTATTCGTTAAATGTACACCCAGGGGCGTGCGGCGGAGCAAATTCAAAAGTGTGTGTGTGGGGGGGGGGGGGGGGGGAGGGACCAACAAAAAGGGCACTTTCTGGAGAAAAAAGGGCATCTAAAAGGGGAAGTCTCTATAAAATATGCAATTCATTAGACATTACATTATCAGGGATCATTCAATATTTGTTTCTCTTTTTACACCATACAAATCATACTTTACAGTTGGGTGTGATGGTCAGAAACTCATTTGCGAGCGAGGAATTTTTTTAAAGATTTATGAGGTCGCAGTGCGAAAAATTACATCTATAAAGAGGAAAACACCCAGTCCTGATGGGGTTATACAGTGTCGGATACAGGGGGGCCGGGGGACCCGCCCGCCCCCCCCCCCCCTGGCAAAAAAAAGAAGGACAAAAAAGAAGGGAAAAAGGGGGGAAAGGAAAACAAAAGAAGGGAGAAAAAAAGAAGGAAAAAAAAGAAGGAAAAATAAGGTATCAAAATATGCTCATCTGACCGTAACCCCCTTGACCCCACCTAGGACCCTAATTAGGCGGACAGCTGGATGCTAATCTGACCGTAAATCAATGCTTAAAACCCCTGAGCTTCTTGGGCCTCGGCCCCCTGGACCTCACGCCAATTAGTATCCTGCCAATGTCACAAATAAGGTATCAAAATATTCTCATCTGACTAAAACCCCTAAGTTTCCGGGGCTCCACCCCTCGACTCCATGGAGTCGAGGGGTGGAGCCCGCCTGCAAGCATGCAAGCATGCAGCAAGCATGCAAGCAAGCAAGCAAGCATGCTGCAAGCATGCAAGCAAGCATGCAGGGGCCCGCCTTAAGGCCCCAGCTGGTGCACCAGGGGCCTTAAGGCGGGCCCCTGCATGCTTGTCTGACCGTTGTAAAATTCCTAAAACCCCTGAACTTCTGGGGGCTCCGCCCCTGGACCCCACGCCAATTAGTTACCTGCTAGTGTCACAAATAAGGTATAATTATCGCCCCCCCCCCCCCACTCAGTGTTATTTAGGGTACGCATATGCGTGTTCCCTCCTTTTGAAACCCCCCCCCCCCCCTAAGTCTGGTGTGCAGTGGCGTAGACAGGTTCGTACACCTGGGGGGATGACTGGGCTGCCAACGCTAGTGAGGGCGCGAAGCGCCCGAGCGAGGGTGTGGGAGGGGGGTGTCCCCCCTCCCACGGTATAGCTTTTGCAATTTTGAACTTGAAATCGTGCAATCTGATGCATACTTAATGAGGTAAAATAACACACACAAGCGTGCACGCACACACACACACACACACACACATACTACGCCTTGAATGGACAGACATAACATCGACAAGATCTACACACCGTGGCATACGAATACAGAATGGACTGACACATAGTATTGCATATTGAACCACACTACGTATTTATTTATCTCTGTGAATTTTGCTGTTATACACCTCTTCAGCAAAAAAAAACCAATGTCAACTGTGTACACGCAGGTATAGTCTTTAATTGTTGTCTTGATCAGACTTGATAGGGGTATGTGGTTATGAATGAAAACAGCCTAGCTCTGTGGCAATTTGTGAATAGAACACATAAACAACAAACAAATAACGATTAAACTTTGAACAATATGTCTGTTCATTATAAAGCATAATGAATACGTACATACTATGCTTTTTTTTTACCTCAAAGAAACAGGCATAGTATCCATAGATGGATATTGGCTGGCGGCTCATTAACATACAGATACAAAAAACATAAACAGTATCACTATGATCCATGGAGTAACAATACTGCTTTGTAAGTTTGTGAAGAAATCGGAACCATAACGGCATTGCATCGTTTCAAATTAGGGCATTATTTACTTCTATTTGATCTCAGTCTTATAATAGTAATAATAGTAATAATAATAATAATAATAATAATAATAATAATAATAATATAATAATAATAATAATGATAATAATAATAATAATAATAATAATAATAATAATAATAATAATAATAATAATAATAATAATAAAAATAATACTAATACAAATAATAATGCTAATACTAATAGGTTCCTTTTATCTCGCATTTCAAGACAGGGTAAATTCACACTGCGCTTTACATGAAACAAACTTCTTTAAACATTTCAAACTTATGTCTTCATGCATCAATCAACATACTTTAAATGAATACAAAACAAAGTGCATCTTAAATAAAACAAAAATAAATAAATAGTTAACAATACAGAAAAGATGTAGCTGCTGCAAGCTTAACAACAAACTAATGTATACCAGTCAGTCCTGATATCAGTATTAGTGTAACAATAGTCATATAGTGGGAGCATGAAGTTGAACAATTCATGATTATACATAATTATATATGTTTGTTTGAATAATACTTGTTATAAAGATAGTAGTATGGTACTCTCTGTCACGAATTATTATGTATACTGTTGTATCACATTCATTTTCTATTCTGTTTTAGAATTGGCTTTCACCGTGTGAATGCGGCTAACAATAAACACAATTACAATAATGATGAGGATTATTATTATCATCATCATAATTATTATTATTATTAATATTATAATTGTTATCATTATTATTATTACTATTATTATCATCATTATGACTTATTAAGTAAGCAAATATCATTCCCCAAAACCTGGGGGGGGGGAGGGATGATTGTACATGCCATCCCCCCCCCCCCCACCTTGTGAGGTGGGGGGGGGATGCATCCCCCTCATCCTGGTGTGTAAAGTCAATTTTGTGTATGTACGAGCCGGACTTTGGGGCGTGAAAAGTACCCCTTTACCGGACATTTTGATAACACGCATGCGGTCATTCCGACCCCGGATTGGGCGGGGGGGGGGGGCGGGGCCGGGATAATTATGCTCATCTGACGTAATTAAATGCCTAAAGCCCTGAGCTTCCGGGGCTCTGCCCCCCGAACCCAACCAATGGCCCTAAGGCGGGCCCCTGGATGCTCATCTGCCGATAATTTAATGTATAAAACCCCTAGCTTCTTTGGGCTACGCCCCCTGGAGCCAACACCAATTTGTGTCCTGCCAGTGTCACAAATAAGGTATAAAAATATGCTCATCTGACGATTATTTATTTCCCAAGACCCCTGAGCTTCCGGGGGCTCCACCTCTGGACCCAACGCCAATTCGTGACCTGCCAGTGTCACGAATAAGGTTATGCTCATCTGACGATAATTTAATGTATAAAACCCCCGAGCTCCTTTAGGCTCTACCCCCTGGACCTAACACTAATGTGTGTCCTGCCAGTCACAAATACGGTATAACAATATGCTCATCTGACCGTTATTTATTGCCCAAAACCCCTGACCCCACGCCAATTCGTGACCTGCCAGTGTCACAAATAAGGTATAAAATTATGCTCATCCGACGATAATTTGATGTATAAAACCCTGAGCTTCTGAGCGTTCAAGGGGGGGGGTGCGATTTTTCCCATAGAGCGAAATATTTACCGGCACAATTTTCAAATTTCAGCACACTAAATTTCAAATTCAAATTGATTTCAAATTTGGGTCCTCACCCATAAGAAATCCTGGATCCGCGCCTGGGGTTATAAACACATTCTCATAACGGAAGACTGAAAAGACCTATACATGCGAGCGAGATCTTGAAAGTGTGAGAGAAATTGCTCTTAGTCGCTTGAAATTAGGGGCGCGATTAATGGTGAGAGGCAAAAGGGGACACTTATCAAAAGAGATACCACACTTATTAGAAAAGAAAAGGAGCACGTATCAAAATACAAAGGGTAATTAAAATGGGGCACTTCTTACGGCTACAAAAAGAGGCACTCACCAGGGATGAAAAAGGCACTTATGGTAAATGGGCATTTGTCGACGGTAAAGGGGCACCCATCAGATTTTGATAGGGGCATTTACAAGAGGAGAAAAGGGGCATTTATGAAAAGGGGAAGTGGCTCTTATTATGAAAAAAAAGAGGCACATGTTAAAATAAACGGGGCGCTTAACATAGATGAAAAGGGTTCATTATGAAAAGGGGAAGGAGCACTTTTAAGAAGGAAACAGAGCATTTATTAGAAAGGAAAATGAGCACGTGTCAAAATAAAAGGAGCAGTTATTAGAGGTGAAAAGGGACTCTTATCAGTGATGAAAAGAACACTTATCAGGAGGAGAAGGGGCACTTGTCAAAGTAAAACGAGTATCTCTCAGGTTTGAATAGGGACAATTATCGAAGGTGAATGGGGCACTTATCTTAAATGAAAATGAGTAACCGTTCTCGTACCTGAAAAGGGGCATTCATGAGAAGGGAAGGGGCTTTAAGTTAAATGGGGGCACTCATCATTAGGAAAAGGGACAATTATTAAAGGTAAAATGTGAAAATATAAGGTGCGCTTATCCGACTTAAAAAGGGGGTAGTTATCAAAAGACCGGAAGGGGCACTTCTTACAAAGGAAAAGGGGGACTTTTTAAAATAATTTGGGTACCTCTCAGATTTAAATAGGGCAATTATCAGAGGTGAAAAGGGGCACTTCTCTTACCTGAAAAAGGGCACTTACTAGTGATTAAAACGGGCACTTATGAGAATCATAGAAAATGGACACTTATTGCAAAGGAAAATGGAAACTTGTCTAATAAAATATGGCACGTGTCAAAATAAAAGGGGCACTTATCAGAGGTGAAAAGGGGAAGGAGCACTTTTACAAATTAATCGAGGCACTTTTGGGGGTACTTAACAAATTGGGGGCACTGTGCCCCCCCCCCCCCGAGGGCCGCCTCTGTGCACACTCTTTAATTGTCAAATAAAATTATTTT